TTTGGACTTCAACTCCCACAATTCCTAACAACCTCGGGCCTTTCCTTTTCCCCCTCAGCTGCTTAAGCGGGGCCTAAGGCTGTTAGGAGTTGAAGTCCAAAACATATGGTGGACCAGGAAAGAGTTCGCCTTCACAGCCTCTCTGCCTTGAGCGAGGCCTCCAAAGCAGCCAAATCCATCCACTCACTCACTCACTCTTTCTTCGCCTACGTGTTATTATTACCGCCGCCAATCCCACAGATTGCGAAGCTCGTGCCGCCGCCACCACCACACGTTTTGGACTTCAACTCCCACAATCCTAACAACCTTAGGCCACTTCCTTTCCTGCCTCAGCCACTTTTAAGCAGAGCCTAGATAGCCATCTGTCAGGGGTGCTTTGAATGTGATTTTCCCGCTTCTTGGCAGGGGAATGGACTGGATGGCCCATGAGGTCTCTTGCAACTCTATGATTCTATGATAGTAAAATGTTTATGTGAAGAGAGAGCAGTTTTAGGGCATTCTGCTCTCATGTGAGCATGCTTACAGAAAGAATGGGACAGAGAAGACAAAACACCTATTGAGTTGTAGCCATTAAACTAGCAATGCAGCACAACCAGAGGTAATTTTCAATGGTAAGCAAACAGTATTTTGCCGCCCCCCCCCCCAACCAATCAATCACTGATATATATTTTCTGTTCGTCGTGGGAGTTCTATGTGCCATTGTTGTTCATTCGTTCAGTCGTCTCCGACTCTTCGTGACCTCATGGACCAGCCCACGCCAGAGCTCCCTGTCGGCCGTCACCACCCCCAGCTCCTTCAAGGTCAGTCCAGTCACTTCACGGATGCCATCCATCCATCTTGCCCTTGGTCGGCCCCTCTTCCTTTTGCCTTCCACTTTCCCCAGCATAATTGTCTTCTCTAGGCTTTGCTGTCTCCTCATAAGTACTTCATCTTTGCCTCTACTATCCTTCATTCCAATGAGCAGTCGGGCTTTATTTCCTGGAGAATGGACTGGTTGGATCTTCTCGCAGTCCAAGGCACTCTCAGAACTCTCTGTGTGCCATATTTGGTTCAATTCCATCACTGGTGGAATTCAGAATGCTCTTTGATTGTAGGTGAACTATACATCCCAGTAACTACAACTCACATATGTCAAGGTCTATTTTCCCCCAAGAGTGCCCCTGGGCAAAATCAACTATACTGCAAATGCTTACTTTGTGTAATGGGTTGAGCCGCCCCTGAGCACAATCTATCCAAGGTTACTCAAAATTAAGCACCACTAGGTTTAATGAGCCTGGCTTTTAATGACTAGATGGCCCACGAGCTCTCTTCCAACTCTATGATTCTATATACATTTTTGGGTGTTTTGGACTTCAACTCCCACAATTCTTAACAGTCAGTAAACCAACTGGGATTTCTGGGAGTTGGGAGTCCAAAACACCTGGCGGGCTTAAATTTGCACATGCCTGATCTACAGTGACCACTAAGCACCTCATCACACTAGAGCAGGCACCTTCAAGCTGTTGGGGCCTCCAACTCCCAGAAGGCCTTGCTTGCTTGCTCAATTGCCAGGAATTCTGGGAGTTGGAGGCCCAAACAGCAAGAGGGGAGCATTTTGGGGGTGCCTGGTGTAGAGCATCTATCCCAGGCATGGGCCAACTTGGGCCCTCCAGGTGTTTTGGACTCCAACTCCAACGCTTAAGCGGCTGAGGGGGAAAAGGAAAGGGCCTGAGGCTGTGAGGAATGGTGGGAGTTGGAGTCCAAAACACCTGGAGGGCCCAAGTTGGCCCAGGCATGTGTCTAGTAGTTTGATGAGGTCCAAAGTGTCCAGAACTCGCAGGAGAGAAAGGAGTTCAGGGGGTGTGGTTATTGTACGATTTCCCTCCCTGCCTGGACCAGGAAAGGGCTCGCCTTCACAGCCTCTCCGCCTTGAGCGAGGCCTCCAAAGCGGCCAAATCCATCCACTCACTCTTTCTTCGCGGAGGGCCCCAAGCCTACGTCTGTTATTATTGCCGCCGACAATCCCACGGGTCGCGAAGCTCGTGCCGCCGCCACACCACACGGCGCGTCGCAGTGACGTCACAGCGACGCGCCATCCTCTCTTTCTCCTCCCCCCCTCCTCCTCGAGGTTTCCAGTCGCTGTGGCAACGTGGAGACGGAATAAGCATGCCCTTAACACGCGGCAAAGTAGTTAATTCAAGGAAGCCCTTAAATGTCACAAAAAGACCTGTAGGAAGGAACACTAGCATATTATTTCGGGGTGAGAAGGGCGGGATATAAATGTTTTCAATAAATAAATCTTATATAAATAAAAAATGTAATGTTCGTTTGTGGGATTAACATAACTCAAAAACCATTGGACGAATTGACACCAAATTTGGACACAAGACACCTAACAATCCAACGAGTGTCCATCATCCCTTAAACACGCACACACACAAAAAACCCCAGCGGAACAGACTTAGAAGCCCCCCAAAATACACAATATATACATGTACACATACAGTCCTACACTTCTACACATGCACCCATTCATACACATACATATACACACAAATATGCCTATAGACAAGCACACACATATACACAATATGCATGTACACATATAAACACACAAATACACACATATATACACCCACACACACACAGATATATATATATATACACACACACACAAACACATATATGCACAAATATATATATACACACAAAGCACATATACACATTCTGGGCCACAGCAACGCGTGGCAGGGGGTGGCTATCTTCTATCTATATAAATAAAAATGTAATGTTCATTTGTGGCATTAACAGAACTCAAAACCACTGGACGAATTGACACCAAATTTGGACACAAGACACCTAACAACCCAATGTATGTCCTTCACTCAAAAAAATTGATTTTGTCATTTGGGAGTTGTAGTTGCTGGGATTTATAGTTCACCTACAATCAAAGAGCATTCTGAACCCCACCAACAATGGAATTGAACCAAACTTGGCACACAGTTCTCCCATGACCAACAGAAAATACTGGAAGGGTTTGGTGGGCAGTGTCCTTTGGTTTTGGAGTTGTAGTTCACCTACATCCAGATAGCACTGTGGACTCAAACAATGATGGATCTGGACCAAACTCTACAAATACTCAATATGCCCAAATGTGAACACTGGTGGAGTTTGGGAAAATAGACCTTGATATTTGGGAGTTGTAGTTGCTGGGATTTATAGTTCACCAACAATCACAGAGCATTCTGAACCCCACCAACGATAGAATTGGGCCAAACCACCCACACAAAATCCCCATGACCACCAGAGTGGGCCACAGCAACGCATGGCAGGGGATGGCTAGTATAAATAAAATTGTAATGTTCGTTTGTGGGATTGATATAACACAAAAACCACTGGACGAAACGACTCCAAATTTGGACACAAGACACCTATCAGGCCAATGAGTGACCAACCATCACTCATAAAAAAAACACAGGAAGGGACTTAAAAAGCCAAAAAAACAAGAATTACATTACAATGCATGCACAAAACCAGACCTATATACGCAAACACATATATAAACACACATACACATATACACAGACTGGGCCACAGCAACACATGGCAGGGGACGGCTAGTCTATATATATTAAAATGTAATGTTTGTGGGATTAACATAACTAAAAAACCACTGGGTGAATTGACACCAAATTTGGACATAATATACCTAACAGTCCAACGAGTGTTCATCACCCCTAAAAACATACAAAAAAACCCCGGCAGAACGGACTTAACACCCCCCCCCCCCCAATACACCATATATACATATACGCATATGTATATATGGACTGGACTGACCTTGAGGGATATGTATATATGTATAAATATGTATATATGGACTGGACTGACCTTGAGGGAGCTGGGGGTGGTAACGGCCGACAGGGAGCTCTGGCATAGGCTGGTCCATGAGGTCACGAAGAGTCGGAGACGACTGAACGAATGAACAACAACACATATACGCATACACTCATATACATATACATATACACATGCACACATACATACACACACATATACACAAGCCCACACAAATATATGCACACATACATATACATACACACATATATACATATACACATACATATATACACACAAATATGCATATATACAAGTACACACATATAGACACTACATATACACACTACATCATGAGGAGACAGGAAAGCCTAGAGAAGACAATTATGCTGGGGAAAGTGGAAGGCAAAAGGAAGAGGGGCCGACCAAGGGCAAGATGGATGGATGGCATCCTTGAAGTGACTGGACTGACCTTGAGGGAGCTGGGGGTGGTAACGGCCGACAGGGAGCTCTGGCGTGGGCTGGTCCATGAGGTCACGAAGAGTCGGAGACGACTGAACGAATGAACAACAACATACACATTACATATACACATATAAACACACAAATATATACACATATATACACGTATGTGTGCACACATATATGCACCCACATATATATATATACGCAAACACACCTATATACACAAATATATACACACATATAAACACATATATATACACACACAAAACACATATATACAGACTGGGCGGCTGAGGGGGAAAAGGAAAGGGTCTGAGGCTGTTAGGAGTGGTGGGAGTTGAAGTCCAAAGCACCTGGAGGGCCAAAGTTGGTCCACGCCTGGTCTGTAGACTCATATCATGCAGCTTAATTGCTTAGCACAGTGGTTCTCAATCTGTGGGTCCCCAGGTGTTTTGGCCTACAACTCCCAGAAATCCCAGCCAGTTTACCAGCTGATAGGATTTCTGGGAGTTGAAGGCCAAAACATCTGGGGACCCACAGGTTGAGATTCTATAGATAGCATTGATTCATGGCGATCGGAGTGGGTGCCCCTTTAAGGAATTCGGACGGTGTGTCTTTTCTGGGGATTGTAGTCCTCCAAAGGTGGCTTTGCGTGCAACGAGGCGTCAGGGAAACTACCTTTCCCGGCAGCCTTTGCGCGCGGCGCCGCCTCTATTGCAACCATTCCCTGCAAGAGAGAGAGAGAGAGAGTGAGAGAGACACGATGCCGAAAGTCAAGACGAAGCCCCGTTCTGGGAAGCAGAAGCGAGAAGGCAAAGCACCAGGTGGGAGAGCGACGAAAGGGAAAGGCTGTAGATGAGAGAGAGAGAGAGAGAGAAAGAGAAGCCACCTTCATGATCTCGGCATGTGAGAGTGTATCTACACTGTAGAGCAGGCACGGGTTAGGGTTAGGCAAACTTCGGCCCTCCTCCAGGAGTTTTGGACTTCAACTCCCACAGTTCCTAACAGCCCATGCCTATTGTAGAGTTACTGCGGTTTGATGCTACTTTAACAGCCATGATTCAGGCCCCTTTCACACAGCTGGATGAAATTCCACATGATCTTGCTTTCAACAGGGATATATGGCAGTGTGGACTCAGCTGACCCAGTTCAAAGCAGATATTCTGGGGTTATATGGCTTTTTGAGGGATCAATTGTGAGGATTTTTTTTTCTGTGTGCTCAATTTGTATTTTCTGAACATATTAGGAAAAAAATAATTTTAGACATGGTGGCTGAGATCCTGCAATGATCACAGAGTTCTGTCTTTGGGCCCTTCCATACAGCCCTATATCCCAGAATATCAAGGCAGAAAATCCCACAATACCTCTGAGGATGCTTGCCATAGATGCAGGCGAAATGTCAGGAGAAAATGCCTTTAGAACATGGCCATATAGCCTGAAAAAACCTACAACAACCCAGTGATTCCATCCATGAAAGCCTTCGATAATACAATACAATATCTGCTTTGAACTGGGTTATCTGAGTCCACACTCATACTGTGGGATTTCCTGCCTTGATATTTTGGGATATAGGGGCTGTATGGAAGTCTAATTTTGTCTATTTCTGCAGATGCCATTCCTTGAAAACCTAGCTCTTAGGTCAGATAAAAACGACAACAATTTTTTTGTCGTGTCAGGAACGACCTGAGAAACTGCAAGTCGCTTCTGGTGTGAGAGAATTGGCTGTCTGCAAGGACGTTGCCCAGGGGACGCCTGGATGAATTTGATGTTTTTATCATCCTTGTGGGAGGCTTCTCTCATGTCCCCGCATGAGGAGCTGGAGCTGATAGAGGGAGCTCATCCGCCTCTCCCCGGATTCGAACCTGCGACCTGTCGGTCTTCAGTCCTGCCGACACAGGGCTTTAACCCACTGCGCCACTGGGGGCTCCATTACCATAACTATTATGTAATATGTATTTACTAGTATATATATGGAGCCCCCGGTGGCGCAGTGGGTTAAACCCCTGTGCTGGCAAGACTAAAGACCGACAGGTCGCAGGTTCGAATTCGGGGAGATCGCGGATGAGCTTCCTCTATCAGCTCCAGCTCCTCATCAAAACATCCAGTCGTCCCCTGGGCTACATCCTTGCAGACAGGCAATTCTCTCACACTAGAAGTGACTTGCAGTTTCTCACGTTGCTCCTGACACACAAAAAAGGTCAGGCAGTGCCCAACATTAGGGTTTCTGAGGTCCCTTTCACACAGCTGAATAAAATCCCACATCTGCTTTGAACTATGGGCCTTTCCACACCTATATCCCAGAATATTAAGGTAGAAAATCCCACAAATCCTCCAGTTCAAAGGAGATAATTGTGGGATTTTCTGCCTTGATATTCTGGGATATAGGGCTGTGTGGAAGGGCCCAGGGATATATTATTATTATTATTATTATTATTATTATTATTTATATGGCAGATATTCCAGTTTAAAGCAGATATTGTAGGTTATTCTGCCTTGATATTCTGGGCTAAATGGCTGTGTGGAAGGACCCTCGGTGCAATGGAATCATGGGATCTTTAGTTTGGAGAAGTATCAGCATTCTTTGCAGAGAATGCTAAAGGCCAAAACTACAACTCCCATGATGCCATAGCATTCAGCCATGGCCACTGAAGTGGTGTCAAACTCCCTTACCTCCACAGTGTAAGCATACCCCGAGAGAGGTCTCAATGGGCTGGTTTCAAATACCTGTTTAGACCCTTCTCAGACTGCCATATCATCCAAATTATCCACTTTGAACTAGATTAGATGGGGGCCCTTCCACACAGCCATATCACCCAGAATATGAAGGCAGATAGTCCACAATATCTGCTTTGAACTGAATTATCTGAGTGCACACTGCCATATAATCCAGTTCAATTTGGATTTTATACAGATGTGTGGAAGAGGCCTGAGTCTACACTGCCATATAACCCAGTTCAAATCAGATAATCTGGATTTTTATGGCATTGTAGAAGGGGCCTTAGGTTTCATGGCAGTAGGTTTTTCTTTTGAGCATTTTCAAACAGAGACATTGGTGCATCTACACTGCAGGATTAATGCAGTTTGGTATCACTTTGACCTGAAATCATAGGAGTTATAGTTTTACAAAGTCTTTAGCTGTTGCCTCATCCAACTACAACCCCCATCGTTCTGTAGTACATTATTCTGTGTATTGTCATATCATAGTACTTCATCACAATAGAGAATGAATCCACTTTAAAACCGGTTTCTTCCTCCTGCAGAATTCTGAGGTTTGTAATTTTGTGGGCCTTTTAAAGGCTCCTCCCTGAAATACAAACCCCAGAATTCTGCAGGTGGAAGAAACCAGATTTAAAGTAGATTCATTCTCTATTGTGATGAGTTCCCTACTTATGTCAACCCTAAGCGATTTCTGGGGCTGAGAGTATATGACTCACCCAAGGTCACTTGGTGGGTTTCCAGTGCTGAGTGAGGAATCAAACCCAGTCTCCAGAGTCATGATCCAACACTAAAACCATACACCACATATAAAGAGAGTTGCAAACTGTCCAGAGTAGGTTTGCTGCATGTGGCAGAAAATCAACACTGCCAGGTTCTAGTTTCATGTAAAAAGAGAATAAAGATTTGGTTGACATTCTTGAAGAGCCCACTCTCCTTGTATTGTCATACCAGATTGCCTGCAAGTAGTTAAACCAATTGATTGTTGTACTTGCACTTTTTTTCTTCAGTATCTGGCATCAGGTTCAACACAGGATTGGGCCAACATATTTTGAAGAATCCCCTCATTGTTAACAGCATCATAGAGAAGGTAGGTAATAATCAGTTAAATTATATAAAAATGTCTTGCTATGGATGCAGTCTGTAACTAAAGTATAGATATCAATTACTCAATTTGTCCCTGAATTGTAAATGTCATTTTCTATTTGGTTCAGTCATAAAAACATGGAAAAAGTTTATTAAATTGCAAAAACTTTGTTGTTGCAGAAAATTCTGCAGCATATTTTGGTATAGTTTTTCAATTAATATCTGATAGAGTCTCAACCCAATTCAACATAATTTGTGGCAGCCACAAAATGAAGTTTCTAGAGTATAACAACTGCTTTCAAAGTAAGTATCACACAATTAAACAGGAAATAACACTTTCAAACCAGGAACAGATTTTTTTTCCAAATGTTGTTACACAGAGTTATCAGTTTGCACAGATACAACTGAGCAGATAAAAATGGGATTGTATTGTAGAACACTAATAATTACTTACAATGTGAAATATATTTGAAATGACCAACTTATAGAAAGTAATTTAAATTCACAGGTGCACTCCTGTTCCACCTATTTTATTTTGGGGTCAGGTAGAATTATTGCATTAAATATATTACATGTGCTATATGATATCAATTCATTTTCTGTCAAATACTGACTTGTTATTTTTAATACTGTAAATCCATTCTCTTTCATTTTTAGGCTTCCTTGTATCCTACAGATGTTGTTCTAGAGGTTGGCCCTGGCACTGGTAACATGACAGTAAAAATGTTGGAAAAGGTGAAAAGGGTAAGAAAAGAAACCAAAACATTCCATGTTGTCCAAGGCTTTCATAGCTGGAATCATTGGTGCTGTGAGTTTTCCAAGCTGTATGACCATGTTCCAGAAGCATTATCTCCTGACGTTTGTTCACATCTATGGCAGGCATCCTCAGAGATTGTGAGGTCTGTGGGAAACCCTCACAACTTCTGAGGATGCCTGTTATAGATGTGGGTGAAACGTCTGGAGAGAATGCTTCTGGAATATGGCCATACAGCCCAGAAAACTCACAGCAACCCAAAACATTGTGATCTGTTAACAATGAGCAAATTGTATATTTCCTCCTGTCCTGCTTTCAACAGGGAGAGATAGAAAGAGGTAAATGAGACAATTAAAAGTTTTCGGCTGAAGGGAAGTGAAGAAATGAGGTTTTGGGGACTGTATCATATGTAATACATATCTTCTTAGCCAATATGTAATACATATCTTCTCTCAGTCTGCTTCATCCTGGAAATATTTTTAGGTTAAGCCTGAAATCATTTAGCAGGTTTTCTAAGAATACTGGGCTAAATACAGTGTTTACATCCAGCACTTCACATACCTATGGTTAAAATGCTTTTGTTCTAATAGTTGAAATTTAGCAAATTTTAGTTGGGTTTTTTTTTTGTATCTTTCAATGGAATGAATGACCCTTTTGGTCTCTTCCAACTCTATTATTCCGTGACATCTCTTCCCTTTTTCTCTTCCTCTCTAAAAGATTGCAGGACTCCTCAAAACATTTTTCAGGATGTATGAGAAGTTGTAGAGCAGGGGAAAGAAAGAGCTAAAAAGTCCAGTCAGACAATGTGGACATAATAATCCAAAACACTATTTTCCTTGGAAATACTAATGAAGCCTTTGGTTGCCTCTGCGCTTGTCTATTTTTTGGGGTAATAATCTTCTTGTTATGCATTAACCAACTTAAATGTATCATATTTAATTTTCTTGTGGGAACTGGATGCCTACTACACCATTACACAAAAACGTTGTGTCATAAACATTTAATAATCGGAAAGAGAGCTGTTATCACATGTGTTGACAACTATGGCATAGTTCTGTGCTTCATTATATATGAAGCACATGCAAATTAATTTGTTTATATATTTTTCCAGGTAGTTGCCTGTGAGGTTGATGTGAAGCTTGCTGGTGAACTTCAAAAAAGAGTGCAGGGCACGTAAGTAGACATGATAGAAGAAAAATGCAACACACTAAAATTTGTTTGGGAAATACACTAATTTGAGAACTGTGGTTTTTATTCCAGACCTTTGGCTAACAAACTTGAAATAAAAATTGGAGATGTATTGAAAAGTGACCTGCCATTTTTTGACGCTTGTGTAGCTAATTTGCCTTATCAAGTAAGTACAAAACTAAGCATATTAGAAAATAAGGCTAAGTAAGATAACTTCTAGTTTACAATGGTAAGGATCATGGGAAATTAGCTTTCTCTATTTTTTCCCTCCAGATTTCTTCTCCTTTTGTTTTTAAGCTGTTGTTACATCGGCCTTTCTTCAGGTATGTATTAAAAATGTATCATTTCTAATATATTTTGGGTGCTTTTACAAATCGTTCAGTTTTACTGATTAGTACCAACAGACAGTTGATCTGCAAAACAAATGATTAGCCATTATGTCATTCTAGCATGCTACAAATTATTTGTTATTTCAAACTAGAAGTTAAGTTTACTTTCTTTAAGATGAAAGCAGTAAATCTGTGTGCAGATCACAAAAGAAGGGCTGTTCTAATAATAGTTGCTCATTCCTTTTGAAATGTGGCAAGCCAAACCCTGATTTTATATTTTCTTAGGAAGTCTGATTTGTTTGGTTCATTCAAGGAGGACTCCTAAAAATAGATGCTTACTGTTTTTACTGTCATATCTTTATACATTTTTCCTGAAAAGTCTGAAGTACAAAGAACAGAGGTTATTGACAAGCACTTCCATTTTTCCTTCTTCCATAACCTGGATGTTTGTTTACTTCAATCTCCATATCTTTATAGGTATTTTTGATCCTGTATTAACACTATTTGGGGATGGTTTATGGAAAATTTATAAAAAATGTAATATTTATATAAAGAGAACAAGTGAGAGATAGTGGTTTGAGTGTGTGGCGTAATGCAAAATAAACCACGTGTAGTTCACATTTGGTCAGCCCACACACTGCCTTGCCAGGGAAAGAAAATATGCCATGCAGGTGAACAATAAAGTAGTTTTACTCTTCTTAATTTTGAACAAAATGTGTACAATATGATCAGTTGCATCAACTCACTAAATGTCCTTTTATGAGAGATTTAAGATGATATTTTCTGTGTCCATATGAGTAACTTTCTTTTAGCAGCCAAGAAGCAACTCAGTCGGTCTCTCTCTGCTTCTCTCTTCATTTCTCTTTGCACCCGCATAGCTCCAGTCTGAACAAAATTCAACAGTATCCAAAAGTTCCAGGCTCAGTCATCACCCTGTGCATTGCCTGACCAATCCGTTTCATGCATCTTATTTTGCAGTTGACACACACAGACGCTCCTTGCATGTTCTAACTGTTTGAGTCAGAGCTTGGCCATTGAAATCAACTTGGTGACCTTGGGCAAGACACACATGATTTACCTAAGAAGAAGGCAATGGCATACCTCCTCTTAACAAATCTTGCCAAGAAAACCTTAGAGGAGAGTTGCTATTAGTTGGATCTAACTTAAAGGCCAGTAGCAGCAATAGTAATGTACAAGTGTTTCAGATATTTAGATATTTAATACCATGTACATAACTATGTCATAATCAACTCTTAAGTGTTACAAAAATCATAAAACTAATAGCTAAAATACATGGCCAAGTGAATCTGTTATCTTCAGCATCTTATTCCATCCTAGTTATTTATTTTCTTGTTCCCATTTTATTATCACAAGCTCTCTTACAGTGAGGCAGTGAAAAGGAATTCCGCAGAGTTTATATTGCATTTAGTATTTAGGCTATATACTTTTATCATCCAAAAAGTAGGTGCGTATAGGTTACTCTGCTGTTGCAGTGATGTAATCTAGTTTATACATCTTGCATATTTTAGAAATAAAGCAATAAACTTGTTAGATCTATGTGGAAAAGTAATGTGAAAATTAATAAAACATCACGAAGAAATGGTGTTGTTAGCCTTTCTCAAAAAGTCCTGCTTCAGTGCAATGTGACCCAAACTTATAACTCCTTTCTTTTGTTTCTAGGTGTGCAATTCTTATGTTCCAAAGAGAATTTGCTCTTCGTTTGGTTGCAAAACCCGGCTCTCCTTTATATTGCAGACTCTCTGTTAATACTCAGTTATTAGCCCGTGTTGACCACTTGATGAAAGTAAGTACATCAACAAATACTTGAAATTGAGCTGTAAATTTTCAAATAGAAAGCTAGAGGAAAGCAAGTTCTCATGAAGATGTAAACAAGGTGTATTTTTTATTGTTAACAGGTTGGAAAAAATAATTTTAAACCACCGCCCAAAGTTGAATCCAGTGTTGTGAGGATAGAACCAAAAAACCCTCCACCACCAATCAATTTTCAGGTGAGACTCATCACTATTGATGTAAACTCCATAAAAACAAATTACGCAATAGTCACAAGTGTTGTCTTATTCTTCCATGATTGTAGAAATCAGGGATTAGAAACACATAACATTCCACATTTTGTTGTACTCCCACTAGTCTTGATGATCAAAGCTGATGTTTAGAGATGATGGAGTTGCAGTTTAAATAACAACAATTGGAGATCTTCATGCTCCTCTTTCCTTACATAACCTATAATTAAGCAATTTTTTTTTTTGCAATACCATGTGTTTTTTATGAGGGTTGTCTAACACTTGACGTTTTAATATCATCAAATATCAGTTGATGAAGAGGGTGTGTGGAATCTGTTGGTGTATTTGTTTATTGTGAGTATTGGTTGGTTTGGGGAAAGATTTCAGCAAAGCCAAATTTAACTGTTAGTAAGAAAAAGGCTAAAGATTAATGTCTCACTTAGGATAAAATCAACTGAGGCCCCTGTTCGCGTCATTATGCTCATCAAAGACTATCCTATTAATTGTACCCTGATTGTGCATTTTTGAAGGCATATTTATGATGATTTGAAGCCCATTTTGTGAGAAAGGATATATATTCAATCAACAAATACATTTGAGGAACACTGTAAAAACCGAAATGAGTTTCTGAGGCATGATCTATCCCAGAAATTAGTTGTTTTGAATGGAGTGGCACTCTGACCATATGTAAATTAATGTGGTTGTTTGTTTAGATTTTATGTTATTATATATTATATGTTAGACTACGTGTAGTTTAATTTATTGATGTTAGTATTAATTTACTGATGTTAGCCTTTAATTTGATGTTAGGTTTTAATGTTATTTTCATATGCAGGGTTTCTCTGGGACTTTATGAATGCATTGAACATTTGTAATTGTTATGTTGGAATCCGCCCTGAGTCCCCTCAGAGAGTTAGTGTGGAATACAAATAAAGTTTTATTATTATTATTTAGAAGATTAAAAACAAGCATATAGCTGATATTTAAAATTGAGGGAGACTAGAGGAAGCATCTGGAGTAACAAGGGAATGAGACAGAAGTACAAATGAAATTAAGAGTGAGAGAACACTTGCTGGGGAACAGATGCTTCTCAAAATTTTACTCTAAAATGTGCACAATTTGACTCACATGTATTATATGTTTATTTAGGAATGGGATGGCCTGCTAAGGATAGTCTTTGTCAGGAAAAATAAGACACTTGCTGCAGTTTTCAAGTAAGTGATATCAGAGGGAGTATTTCGTTTGCAGCTGAGCAGTCACTTTTTATCGTATAGGAGTCAACTGTTTCTCCTTTGATGAATTGTCACACTGGATTGTATTAACAGATTGTGTTTGTTCTCCTTTTATTTGGAGTTGGTAATATTGCTATATTGCCTTGTCTTTCCTTTGCTCACGAGCTAAAAGAGAGGAAAACAGGGAGATGATGGTACACCTGATTTCTAAATAACAGCCAACTATGAAGAAGTGAGCTGGGACCCTGCCCAGGCTTTGTCATAACAAATGAAGATGGCAGTGAGCAATTGTTATGTGACTATAGACAAAAGAAGATTCAGATGCATTGGTGCTTTTGTGCTTTTTTCATATCATATTAGGTTATCACGATGGGTATTGTGTATTTCACTAAATAAAGGGTATCTAATAAGTCCTCATGCTGCCTCTGGTCTCCCCCTGTGTTTGAAGCTAGTTGATTCCTTATTTGATTGATTGATCCATCACTTCTTTGGCACAGGGTCCAGGAAAGCAGGGTAGGCAAGCAAGCCTAAATATGGGGGGCCTAGAACTTGTGCTTCCATTAAGGCTATTAGGATGCTTTATCTCAGTTAAGCAAAACTAAGCAAAATATCCTTTCATTTTGCATAGTTTTATTATTTCAGAGTTGACACTGGTTTCTTATGGTTTTTCTAGAATTTTGCATTCCAAGATTCTTTCAAACTTTAGTGAAGGGGTAGAAAAGTAGAAAAGGGACTTACAGTCTTCTTTACCATGATTATAAATATATCCAGTTCTCATATAAGCCCTTGGTGTTTCTCTAATACAATTTTCAATAATGCTTCTTTTAATCCTTTTTTTTTTTCAAAATGCAAGAGGGTATCCCTATAGCTATATATAATCTTTCCTATTTTTACTCATTTCAGTTCAAATGCTGTGAAACAATTACTGGAACAAAATTACCGAATCCACTGCTCACAGAATAACTTGGTAACCTTTCCATTTATTTCTGTTTGGTTTTTGGGAAAAAATTAAGTTACTTCTCATCTCATAGATAGTACATAAGATAAATTCTCTCATCTTTTATGTTGACAGGAAATTCCTGAAAATTTCAGTATTGGAAATCTCATTCATGAAATTTTAAAAGACACTGGTTACTCAGAAAAGCGTGCACGAGTAATGGATATTGATGATTTCATCAGGTGAAACTAAATTTTTTCACATTTTCATTTTTTCTATATTCTCAGTTAAAGAGCTCCTTGTTCTCAAATCTCTGCAAAAATAGATGTGAAGATTCTGTGCAGTGTCATGGGTTTAACTGCATTTTGAATACCCTACAGTGTGTTAACAGTTGGTGTTGTGCCCCATGTAGTTTGGCAAGACAATCTTGGCTGCTGCATGGATAATAGAATCAGAGTTGAAAGGGACTGCACAGGAGGCTATCCAATCCCACTCCTTCATATACAACTCAGCTAAAGTGCTTCTGATTAATCCAACCTCTCTTTAAAGCCTTCATAGAAGAAAACTCCGCCTTCAAGGCATCAGTTCCCAGAATCAAACTGTTAAGAACTTCTTCCTTAATGTTTATTCTACATATTATTCTACATGAAATAGGATCTTAATGAAAACAACGTTGTTTTTTTCTCTTTTAGTCTTCTACATGGCTTCAATTCAAAAGGCATCCACTTTTCCTGAAAGGAAGAATGAAATTGAAGATGACAAACAGAAGAATGTTTTATAAATAAAACAGCACTATAAAGCCATTCATAAGGAATGAGAGATGTATATTTATCATGAAGTTTCATTCTTGGATGGAATGGAGAATCAATGCATTTATACCATGTGGATTACTCTTCCATGCCATCCAGAGAAAATAAATTGCTCTGACTCAGCACATTCAGATGTTTTAAATAATCAGATTATGTGAAATGGATACAAAAGGCCACCTATTGCATTGCTTTTCTCCAGCTTCTCTGCTTCTTTGAGCAGGATGTGAATTTTTATCCCGCCTGATGTAGTTAGACTGCAACTCCCATTATCCCTCAACATTGGATATACTAACCAGAGCTTAAAGTAATTGCAATCCAAATGCATCGAGAGGGCCACATATTTTTTCACTCCTGCTTTCAAAAAACAGATGGAGTATATACCTCAACAAGCCTTATATAGGCTCTTCTGATAAGTTCCAGTCTTTTTGTTGCCTTGTTTTATGTTTAATATTAAATATTTGTCTTATGTTTAACTAGCCAAATAAGTATAGCTATTCTTTTTGGAAGAATACATGGATCTGAGAGAGGAAATAGTGTTGTCTTGGTGCCAAACCTGGTCTTTTAGATTTTAATCAAGCTGCTCCATTTTTCTCTACAGCAATAATTATTTTGTATCAGACTTTTCCTGACAATTGCTAATACTTTTTAATAATAAAAGCTCTTCAGTAGCAGCTTTAAATGTTACAGATACATTTTGGCTGGCATTTTGTTAGTGGGTTACACAAGTTTAAGTATAACATACACTGTAAGGATACCAGTTTCTGTTCACACCACAGGAGCAGGGAAAAAGTGTGACTTAAAAAAGTAGCAAATAATTTGCTAACCAATTAATACCACTCACAATGAGGTAGTCAATACAGCTTGAAACAAGTGTCTAGTGGATAGAAATATTGGGACAGTCCTATATGAATTAGAAATTTAAAGTCAGCAATCACTGTGAGTTAAACCATAAATGTAGCAAACTATTTTAGATTGCTAACTATATTTCATCGCTGGGCCAATAAGCACTACAGGAGAGGGCAACTGTAGAAGGATGGAGGAGCTAGGTAATGCTCCAGAGACCTTGGAGGGCATCACACACACATGTACAGAAAATAACCTCTAAAGCAGGCATGGGTAAACTTCAGCCCTTAAGATGTTTTTGACTTAAACTCTGAGAAATCCCAGGCAGTTTACAAGCTGTTAGGAATTGTGAGAGTTGAAGTCCAAAACTTCTAACTTGGAGGGCCAAAGTTTGCCCATGCCTCATCTAAAGAGGGGGTGTAAATTTTTGCCATTTCACAATAGGAAATGAAATGATTTTTTTAAAGGTCACTTTTAGGTGTGAAATAGTTTGGGGAAAGTAAAACTATGATGAAAATGCACCCATGTTTCTTAGGGTGCCTTTCAGGGGGCTACATGTAGGCCATTGCTTTGAACAACCCTGCTATATGGTATCAAGTAAAGTTCCATTTTGCACTCCTGAGTTGCTGTATCTCTAGTCATAGGGGACATGGACTGGGCATGGAGTGATGTGGGAGAAGATGGTGAAGTGAATGGTATAGGTCCTACAATAGTAATGAGCATGGTGAATTGGTCCAAGGATGAATCCCAAAATAAATATAACAGGAAAACAGTCGTGTTTGGAAGAAAGTGCTCTTGCTAAGAAGCCTAGTTTTGAAAACAGATGTCTGATCACTTTAAAAGACAGTCACATGCTCAGGAAAATTACAAATTTCCAGAGGTAATACAGCAAAGGAATATGTGCTGTTAAGAGAGTCATCCTCTTAAGAAGTCACAGCTGCTATACCAATGTAAATTTGGCAAATACTCTCTTCCCATCTATCAGGGAACATTCCTAACATTCAAGAAAAATCATTTTGCTCAAAAGAAGCTGATTTCCTGTCATACTATGATCAGCTATCACTAGAAAGCTTCTGTCTTAATTTAAATTTTTATTCATTTATGTCCCCAAACCGACCTCGAACTCAGCATCCATAGTGGAATATAATGGAAAATATCTACATGCTCTGCATACTTAGTCATAGTCCAAATCTACTCCAGCAGTTTCAGGCTTCAATTAATAGATGCTTTAACCCACCATGGTAAGAGGTTGCAGTAAATAGTGGAAATCTATAGAACATTGTGGGTGCATGTGCTAGCAAGCTCTCTGATCTTCCCTGTACAAAGGAACAGATTTCCCTGCAAAACAATTCTCAGTTATTTTGCAATTTGTAGCTGAAAACTTGCTGACAGGTTCATAAGAGACCATTTTTAACCATTTCGTTTTAGCAAGCTTTTTTTTCTGTTGTCAGGAGCAACTTGAGAAACAGCAAGTCGCTTCTGGTTTGAGAGAATTGGCCATCTCCAGGGACATTGCCAAGGGGATGGCCAGATGTTTTACCATACTGTGGGGAGGCTTCCCTCATGTCCCCACATAAGAAGCCATAGCTGAGGCAGGAGCTCACCCTGCTCCCCAGATTCGAACCGCCAACCTGTCAGTCAGCAGTCCTGCCAACACAAGGGTTTAACCCATTGCACCACCAGGGTCTCCAGCAAGCTGACTTACTGACTGAATTGTTTCATTCACAAAACCACTAAGTTTTCAACAGGAAAACTCTTTGATGTAAAATGCATCTGCACAATATCCATTCTGGAGCTTCTTACAAGAATTGTCAAATGCATGGTTTTGACAAAGAAATGGGGAGCACACGTTAATCCAGCCAAACTCTTTTTATGTTCATGGCATATCCCCTGCGTATGCAATGTAGTGAAAAGAGATACAACCTGTTAAACAGTTTTCTTCTTGTTGAAAAATTGCACTTGTGAAAACATGGCACCTTCAAAAACTGCTTTAATTAAAACATCTATAAACAGTCAACCCAAGAACTGACTCGGTAAGATTGCTGATTAATTGTAATGAAAATGTATGTATAAAAACTGGATATTAACATTTGCCACACATGCATACATTTCTCTCTTTGAAAGCACATTTAACTCCGGGGAACTGAATATGTTGGTATATCCTTCTAGCCATATGACAAAACAAAGACCACTTGCCACAAGGCAAGTTTACTTGTTTAAGTGATGCTGAGATAGTAGAAAAGTTGATCTCCTAACAGCTAACAAACAGTGCCATCTTGAGGCAGTTGGGGAATTGTATCATGTACATATTCCCCTGGGAAATGATAACATGTTAGTCTAATTTGGTATACAATTACAAGTGAAGAGTACTATCACAGAAACACTGAGATTTTGATGTGAAGAAAATCTGAACAGAATGGCTATTCTTAATAGAGAAGTCTTCCACACTTCTGTTCAAAAATATCTGAATAGGAGACATCTTAGCGCAGATCAATATGGCGGGGGGAAGTAAAATTCTCAACTTTTAATTTATATTTCATATTTAAATTTATTAAACACATTGTGTAAAATCTACATAGTTTCTGTTTTCATGTTTACAGATAGGTGCTTTGTCACCATGATATGGTAAGGGACTTCCACAGCCTACCTTCCTAAATGAATTATGTTGAACACTGAGAAATTCTGGCTCATTAAGCTCTCTTTTCATTGCTTTCCCTTTATTTCCCTAAGTCACAGCAAAGACAGGCTTATATCTCGGAAAAAAGTGAAACTGTTCCAAGGAATGTCTGTTGATATGAGTACCTGGAATTATTCTGGGAACAGGGAGAACTCCTAGAGAGGTCTAAATGCATCTGACAAAAATACATAAGAGGCAATGTCTTTTGGACAGCAATTTGAAAAAAATAATTGAAGTGCCACCATCTTAAAAAGTGCTGGATACACAGTGCCATTTGTGAAGGTTTCAGGCAACATTGTGGAATTTCTTCATCATCAGACAGGTTTTGTGGAGTTAGTGTGCAAATTCTCAAATGGTACAAATTCACCCCACTTTTCAACTGATGGCACTGTACAAATGCAAAATATGCATTAGCAACTTTCTTTTAAAGCAACAGTACTAGCTATCTGCAAACTACAGTTAATGCACATGTAAACTTTCATGCACCAGAAGCCAATTTTAGTCATACAAGAAAGGGTTACTTTCATATCCTGTGACACCTCTCCTACACATATATGTAGAAATCAGATTGCACCTTTTATTCTGACATCATCACACTAGCACACATACCGTATATTTGTATTGTCCTAAGATACAACTCTCCTTCATAATCAGTTTACCTTTTATTGTACATCCACTAATTTATAGTTTTGTTCTTTACAAAGAAAATGTTAGAGACTCTTTATGGAATTGAAATAAAAGCATGATTCCAGAATTTTGTACAGGGAAAAATGGAATGGCTTGCTGTCAATTCACATGATAGATTTTTAATTCCAGGTCAATGATATGGCACATACTGTGAAATGAAGAACTAGTCACGAAAAAGAAAAGAAAAAACAGCACACATTTAAAATGTACACCCAATAAAAGTAATTTACATTGACAAGTAAGGAATGTCATTTATTAAGGCTGTGCTTTAGAGAGGACATTTAGGGTCAAGTCGCCTTGGTCAAGGCACAGAACAGGAAGAGGTGAGCACAGCTGTCTAGAAGAGGTATATACAATCACTGATGAGGTGGGCAGGCATGCAAATACAAAACTGCACAGCTGTTCTTTGCAACAAAACTTGACATAAGTAAAACAAAATACTGCGAAGTTTTTACAAGTCCACCATTTTACTTCATTATTTTTTAAAAATTGGCAAAAAAAATTATCCCAAAACAAAAAATAAAAAAGATTCACAATTTGAGTAAGTTAAATCATTTGAAACAAAAGTGCTTCCCAGCTCCAAAACCTGCCTGGTTGTGCTATCTGGTCTAGAAGCATTTTGCAGACATCTTAGGAGTGTTCCACACAACTGAAATGTCAGCCAGGAGAAAAGAAATGGAGTATTTCCACAGGGTACTTCAAACAGTTTTAGATCGTTCAAGTAGTCGACTTCTTACAGCTTCATCTCCAACCAACCGCAATGGTACAGCAATGAAGGCTCAGGCATCCTTTAGCAGCAGAACTTTGCCTCAAAGGGCACGAGGTCTCTTCGGATTGATTTGTTTACTGGCCTGTTCCTCCTCTTGTAGTGCTGTGCGGAAGGACTTCACTTTATCTGAAAAAGAAAAAGGAAGATCAATAGTAACTAAGTAATTTCAGCGTGGTTCCAATATCTAGGGGCTCTACATTAATGGATACTTTGAAACATAAAATTAAAATCACAGTTTAGCCTCAAGGGAACAGGCTGCACGGTGCTCACTACTTTGACAGAATAAAAGCAAGAAGAAAACTGGAAGCAAAGTTTCTGTTTTAGAGGAAATATAATTGATCATTACCTTCAAACCTAAAATGAAGCCTTAACTTCCATTAATGGAAAGAAGCCAGCTTCATGTATTATTATTTGTAGCTGGCTTGTTTCCACTACCCCCAATTAAGATTAATACTGCAAGTTATGTGTGGCCAACATGAAATAGGAACAAACATTTCCAAACTCTTCACAGCCATACTAGAAGAATGGAGAGAATACAAGTCCAAACACTGAAGCTCTCTCAGTACAATTATACAAACTGTATAAAGTTACAGATGCTGGGAATAGAGGTGTCATTATGCTACTCATAGAAAGCAATGGTACAAATTCTACCTAGAGGACTAAATTTCAATCTGAATTAAGTGTTCCATTTTGACAATCATGTTTTAAATGAGACACAAAAGGAAGCCAAGAAAGGGCAAGAGGACTGCATTAAAGTGAAAGAAAGTGCTGACATAAGAAAGATGTAGGCAGAGGGCAATGGAAGCACACAAGCTTTTATCAGCTACCCACTAAACTCTAAAATAAATCAATTAACACTGTATTGTCAAAGGCTTTCATGGCTGAAATCACTGGGTTGTTGTAGGTTTTTTGGGCTTTATGGCCATGTTCTAGAAGCATTCTCTCCTGATGTTTCATCTGCATCAATGGCAAGCATCCTCAGAAGCAACTCAATTAACACTCTTGTTAATGTCAGAAATATTAAAAATGAACTAGGTATTTTTTATTACAAAAATGTGAGTCAAGCACTGAAAGAGTTAGTAGGCCGAAGCCTATTAGAACCAGCGGGCCAAAGCTAGTATTGTTCTGAGAGTGAGTAGGTCGAGGCCTGTTAGAGTTAATGGGCCAAAGCCACTGTCGTCCTGAGGAGAGTGAAAATACCTCAGTGTATGAGAAACTTCGGTGAAAGAAGCCCCAGGTTAAAGGCCTTTTATGTAAAGTTGTGTGAAAATCTATGTGAAGCTCCAGTGTAATTTTGGTGTGAGAGGGAGCTCTGTGAGAGCAAAGCTGTTTATCTGCATAAGAAAGAAGCCCAGCATGGAAGCAAAGAAGGAAGTATTCTTTATATCACTTTGGGCTATTGGTGCTGGGTCACACTGATGCTAATAAGTTACTCTGTTGTGCATTTGTGAGGTGGGACTTTTGCTGGTAAGCCCACTTGCCCAACAGTTAAATCCTTTCCTCTTTTACGCAAAGGAGGTACTCAACCTACCTCGAAGTTCAGTAAACACGTAAATTTTTTGTTCTAAGATTGCTTCAAGCTGTGTCGCATATGAGTCCACATCATAGTCTACTTCTTCTGTCATCTCCAGAAGAGCTTTTTCATCTTCTAACCATCTAATAGATTCCTAATAAGAACAAAAAGAGGCAAGGTGACAAACTATTGGATAGAAAGCTGAACTTAAATTCTAACGCCATTTTCAAAATCAACCATTTGGATCCTGCAGGATTTTTATCACCCCCTGTTCTACCACCCCATTTTTTAATTCAAAACAACTTCCATCACTTTAGGAAGCATAGGGACAATTGTACAGTGTCATTAAACACCTCAAGGGGCAGGAACATAATGAAACTGCACTAATACACCCAAAAACAGGAGAATGGTGTGAGTTTTAAATAGGGATGTCCAATGTGTGCAGATGACCCCCCGGGGCTAGGTGCATCTCCAGACAGATGGGTTCATCTGAAATACTGACCTCAAAACAAGAACTTTAAAATACTACTTCAATGAGTAAGATGTAGCATCATCTTGAGATGATAATTTACAGGATATGTAGATGGATACACAAATAAAATTTGTATTATAACCTACCATATATTTTACTGAGCTAACATGTTTGAATAAAGATTTTACAAACCTTTTGCTCTTCCTTTTTCAGTCCAGGCTTTATGTCATTGTAATTTCAGGTTACTTACTCCATACTATGAAGTCCTTTAAATGTCTGACAAGCTTGAATAAGGTATCAAAACATATCTTAGATTTTATAACCAACTACCACTTGCTAACAACAAATAGTTTGGACATAGTGATTTTTATTTATTTTTTCTTTATTTGTTTTAGACAGTTGATATCTATGTCATAGCTTTTGTCTGCTTCTAAAAGTTCTTTAAGTTTCAATAATATCTTGGTCTGTGAGATGGGAGAAGCTACTGTTTCTGAAACACAAACTACCACACAGATGCTCCAAAATCACAAGGTTCTTTGTATTGTGAATGCTTACCTGGAAGACAGCTCTGTGGTCTTCTACAACTTGCTCCTCCATTTCCACCAACTGTGACACAGCTTCATGGAAAGTGAACAGCTGTGGTGAAACTTCCTCCTCCTTTTAAAAATAGGGAAACATGCTATAATTTCTATACACCAAGAAACAATTTGAAGCTGAAGCTAAAAGGAAAGTCATGTTCTAGAGAAAAAAAAATGACAGCTTTCTGAAACTGTTTAACCTGTTATTAACTTCAAGGTTACTAATGGAGCCAATCGGTAACATTTGTCTATCACTGGAAAATAATAACCTAACTGTAACCAAAGCCACAGACCTCAGACAAAAAAAACTGCTAGAGAAACCCTTACAAATGCCAAACCCTTGCCAGGTCCATGGATGATATTGTCTGTATGTTAATTCCAAGCAGAGAATCTTCTTGGAGCAAGTCCATAGTCTCTAATTAATTAATATCCCAGAATCCTATTAAAAGTTATACTCAGGGAAGAAAATAATAAAATAATAATGACATTGCACAGTGTTAAAATAAAAGCAAGATACGAATATTCACACCAAATTAAAATCTGTATAACAACAAATCATCTTAGATATGCAAAGTCTGTCCAAACAAAAATTAGCAACCAGCAAGACAATCTGGCCTTCCCTGTAAAAGGATTCCAGTCAAAGGCTCACCCTCCAGGAAAACCCTCTCTCACATTGGTAGCAAACAAGACAGAGACAGTATCTTCAAATCCAAAAAGATTCATGTAAGAGAGTGAGAATTTTCAAAGAGTGATACACATGTTCCAGGAATTGTCCCACCCTTGCCCTCTACCCCAATCTGACAGGATCAGCTATTACCCGATCTAGCTATCTCAAAAAAGGCTTGAAATCTTATTTCCTTTTTAAAAAGGGACAGCCTGGAGAAAGTGAACTATGCATCTAAAGAGCATGAAATGCTTATTTCCACAAATATATTACTTGAAACTATGCCACCCCACTTAACCTTCACACAGTAAGATACAAAAACCCCAAAGAGCAATTTCATTAAGATTATTTCTCACCCCATAGTAATTTCAGTGTATAACATATCCTGTGTCCAGATGGTGTTTCTGGCGGCAAAATCAAGAACATTTCACCATATTCACTCAAAATCAGAATAGCATTTCTACCTCCAGTGGAACATTTCACTGTCAGCCCTCTTTCTTTGAAAAAAAATAATAATATGATGGCTGTGTATTAAAAATACGTTATTGGTGCCTGAAACTCAGTAGCATTGTTTCCAGCTCTTTGGGCGACAGTGCTGTAAAATATCTGTGTTACAAATATAGTTCTCAGTGAATTGTACCACAGGCTTTGGGACACTAAAATACCTCATCTGCCTGATGGAGGGTTGTGATCATTTCCTTCTGCTTAGGTAACGGCTATGGAAAAAGTGTGATGCTTTGAATAAAAACAATGTGCATCATCATAACATTATTATTATTATTATTATTATTATTATTATTATTATTATTATATTTATACCCTGCTTCAATTAAAAGCTTTTCAATACAATTTAAAATGTCAGAATATATAAACATTGAAACAGGATTAAATATAAATAATATTTTAAAAATTCAGTTAACATCCATAAAAACATAATCAAATGTGCTTGATACACTTTCAAAAACTGTTAGAAGTTCAGGTGCCTCACTACTGAATAAACTGAAGCACAAAGCCCTCAATCACGAACCTTACAGGAAAAGGACTTTATTAGATGTTTCACAAATTGCTCTCATGTCCAAATACAGGCCCCACAAGGTGAACTGAATCACTGTGAGAATTCTAATACCAGTTGCCCCCACTATCACTGAGGAATATTTCCAACCAGGTATGGAAAACACCAAAAGATATATAGACAGCCACGTGAAGTCTTTTTTAGAACCATATTTGGTAGGAGAAACATCTCGCTGCCATTAAAATAAAATATAGGAAGAAATAAGATTCCATAGAATTCAAAGTACAATAATTTCAAGGAACTGATTCACAGGGGTATTCACAAAACAAAGGATGAATGTCTCCAACACGTCATCCACTTCAGCTTTTGTTTCATACAAAGAGATAAATAGACAGCAAACATACAAAACAAACTGGCCAGGGTTTGCATTTCCACTGCACCAAGAACTACTGAGATCTGTGAGGTACTCACATTTTGTTCACAAAGCAGTTTCAGATCATCTCGCTGAGGTGAGCTCCCAACACCCCACTGTGCTTCCAAGTCGTCAATCTGATTTGGAGCATGATGCATGATTGGACGGATATCACCAGCAGCACTGGGATCAACTGTCAGCTCCTTTACTCTACAGTTGCAAAATAGGTGTTCATTTTAGCAACATTTCACTTACACAAGTTGAAAAAAAAAACACTTCATCAATTCACAGGCAATTCACAGAAACGATGGTGATGTCAGCTTCATGCTGTTAATGTAAGATGCTAATTATAATATCTTTGATTAAAAGATGAAACTTTACAGTCATACAAGAATTTGTACCATACTATGATTTAATATCATTATTTAATATGGATTTAAACAATCATACATCTTACTTCAATTAGTCAGATGCAGAAAATCTAACGATATTAAGGTGATATCACCATCACTTCACATGGGGGGGGGGGGGGGGCAAGCCTGGCCATGAAATGTTTGGAAAAAGTAAAGATGAGTAATAGTAACTGGGAAGATGATTTGCAGGCCATGCAGTGTCACCACCTGTCAAACAAAATGAAAACAAAAAGAAGGCGATAACTCAAAAAACAAGGACAGTAAGTGGAGGTTTGTCTATAAGATTACACAGCTTAATGGGGGATGGGATCCCACTGAAATAAAAAAATTCCATGTAAAGAATGAAGTAGACCTTGTGATCGAAGGAGAAAAGTCGTCATACTCATAGGAAGGAGAGAGATCAGAGCGACTGCCACTACCCTGTGAGAAGGGAATGTCCGAAGGACTAATTCCAAATTCCTTTACTCTGCAGCAGCAAGATACAGCACCAAATTAAAAGAAAATGTTCTTGTAAAGACCATGAAAATTTCAGCCACTACTATTGCAAGCAGAAATTTAAGTAGCCCTTTAGCCATCAATCAAAATATTTCACAATGAATCTTTCAATAATACTCTTAGAAACCCTATACAAGTAATTAATGTAAACTACTAAATATACTCATATATAAATCAACCTCATGTATAAGCTCAGGGTAGTTTTGGGAGCCAAAATTATGGATTTTGATATGACCCGTGAATAAGTCAAGGGTCATGGATAAGGAGAGGAGAAAACACCAATGCTATCTCAAGGGCTTAGCCACCTATGGCTGATATTCATAATTTCATTGCCCAGACGAGAAACAGTGCCACAATGGAGACAGAAATAGGGCAAGTACTTTCAGGTTATCCGAGGATGAGCTAAGCTCTTGCTTTTTTCCATTTTAAGGAGATGGTTCCTGTTTTTGATTAATGTACTGTACACTCATATTGACCTATGAATAGTCAACACATTTTTTTGGGTTTGACTTTTTACTTTTTTGGGTTTGACTTTTCTGACTAGATTTTCTAGACTTACACATGAGTACATAGGGTAGGAAACTGATGTTAAACAATGGTAATATCAACACACTTTTCTTATGAATCAATACTTGGAGCAGAATGGAAGGAGACTGATTCCCATTGATGAGCCACATAAGCATCTCAATATGCATATTTTATAGCTTCAGAAATGGGAACAAATCATTGCAATATGGGCCAGGAATCCATTCTTATTTTAGTAATATACATTACAAAAATACATAGCCATGCACTTTAAAGACTTCACCAATATCTAGTTATAAAAGTTTAAAAGTTTGTACATTGAGAAGAACCGATATAGGACTTGCTAAAATTCTATGATGCAGAAATAGAATCCAAATATAGTTAGTTACAGACAGACATGTATCATGACAAAGAAATTAGTCTTCCTGCATAAGCCTTGAAATTTGGCAGAAACACCACAGCATATCTGTCTAGCCTAATACCTAGTGCTATCATTCTGTCAACACAACAGCTAATATTTTCCAGTAAGGTTCATCATCCAAGAAAATGTGAAAGTTTTAAGACAAAGCATCACCATTTGCTCTTCCAGTATTCACTGGTGACCTTATCCCACCCTAATGTCTCTCCATTTTCTTATAATCTTCATGTGGTAGCAAAACGGAGTCCCACAGAGCCCATCCAGTGGCTGCTCGTGGAAATCTGTCTTGCCAGAGTAAGACAACAGTCAGAAGACTTCATTGAAGATAGCAGTGGGAAGTGGAGAAAAACCGGAAGATGGAAAACATTGTGGGATGGCTGGCCATTCCCAAAGACGGACCTTGCCGGGATAGGTCGGGTCCCCAATCTTAAGGATGCTTTCCCCTGCTTCCCCTCCCATCTTGCACGTGAAATTTGAAAACAGGAAAGAACAGCTGTTTTCAACACAAGACCTTCAGTGAATGTTTAAACCAGCCCAATGCCAATTAATATCTGCATCTTTAGTACCTTACAGCAATGTAAGGAAGTTGAGTCCTGAAAGAAGATTTTCAGGTTCATTACAATTAGTCTTCAGTTGGTATCAGAAATCACAAACACATGTCAATTGAGAATTTTTCAGTGTTAAATTGAAAGTGTATATAAATAAATATAAAAACTGTACACAAAACCTTATCATACCTGTTTGCATATCTTAATGTATTTAGTGTGTTTTCACAAGATGCCATCCCAGGAGAAATAGTAGCAATCTGAGAGCAAAAAAAACACAAAAACAAACAAAGGCCCAGAAGTGAATTTTTTTAATGAAGCATACCAGCAATTGCTAGCTGCATATTGTTTTTAACTTATTTTCAACTATCAGAGAAGTTTAAAGTGATTCCATATTTCAGGCCACCTTATACAGTACCTTATACAGTACCATTTTAGCTCACTATTCTTCCAGTCTACCAAATATGCCACTGCATTTTATCTGAAATGAATAGCAATTCTTCTGAAAGGGGATACACCCCAGTTCTAGGAGATATCATATAGAATTTATGATAATGCTTACTTATGTATACACTGTTCTCTCATTTATCACGGGTGTTACTTTCCAGGACCACCCGCGAAAAGTGAAAATCCGTGAAGTAGAGATGCTATATATGTATACTGAGTTCCGAGGGTGAGGCAGAAGCAAGGAGAGATTTAAAGGCATTGCACACCTTTTTTTCTTTGCTAGCTATCCCTGCTTTGCCTTGCAATCTCTCTCAATTGGCTGCCTCTATCCTGAGGGGTAGGGTGAAACCCCCTTTCACACTCCATCGTTGCCAGGAGGCAGGATTAGAATGCCACTGGGCAATTGCAACCATTCATTAACTGGGAGGCAAAAACCTGCAAAACAGCAAGTCCGCGAAAAGCAAACCACGAAGTAGTGAAGGAACACTTTTATCTTCTATCTGAATTCTAGTAACAGAAAGGTAGGAACTTTGTAGCAAACAGAGAGCTGTAGCAAACAGAGAGCCTCTGACTGCTTATGCTGCCATAGCAATGCCACGAGAAACAAGATAACAAAACAATTATAATCCTTCAAAGATTCCAAATAAACACAAGGCTTATTCTAAAGTGAGTACAATAATTGAAATGAATAAATGGCATATAAAATATTCTTTAAAAAAATAAAAGGGTCATTGTTCCTGTTGGTGATTGATTTTCAGAATATTTTTGGCAGTGATCTTTTTGCAAAGTGCAAGGAAAATCCATCTTATTCATATGCAGATGTGTTATTTCTGAAGTTCCACTCTAAGTAGAAGGATCCATCCTCAAAAGGGTTAATTCCAGTCAATGTCCAGACTTGGCAAGAGATCATTTGTATCTTTTTTGAAAAATACTTGCTATTTTTGAGCGTTTTCCCCCATGTGACATTTTCTGCCAGGAGATAAGGAAATGCCCATGAAAGTAATTACCTTAATAGGGATGGTGGTAAGAATGTAATTTAATCTGACAGTATTTGCTAAAGAAACCTTCTGCCAAAGAGCACCCTAACGGAGGCAAATTTGTCCCGTCTGTAACCCTCGTTCCTGTTCTGAAAATTTCCTTCAGGGCAGCACTAGTTCAGAAGGCTGCTGAAGTGGCTTCTGACCTGGTAGAGTATGCTGTTACTTTGTATAGGGAGGACAAGAGATTCATAGGCTAGGGATACATGTCTTAATTCATTGAACCAATATATACGAGGAGACCTTCTTACCCAGAGAAGTGAGAACACAGAAGACAAGAAGAGAGTCCATTTTTCTGAATAGCCTAGTAGTGTGTCTGATGTACAGCTTCAGGGCTCTCCTAATATCCAATTTGTTTCATTGATTCTTTCAAGGGTGAAATGGGGCAAAACAACTGTAAAAAATCAGTAGTGGGTGGTGTAACGGGGGATTTATTATAGGTTAAAAAAATCCAGATCAAACCAGGGAGAGACAGGGTGATTATCGAATTTACAAGAAAAGGGGTCCAAACAGAGAGCTGATAGATCAGAAACCTCCTGGCTGAGGTAACCAGGAAAAGTATCTTTTCAGAGGATTCAAAGTGAAACCATCTTTAAGGCAGTCTGGAAAGATCTTGTTTATGTGAGGATGGAAAGAAAGAAACTGATTGTGGCAAGTCAACAAAATTGAGTCCATAGTTTGGCACCATAAGATGTTAGGTTTAAGACTCAGGTCAAGGCCTATTTGCAGAACTGGGGAATCAATGATAATTACTCTTTGCATAGCCTGGGTGGTAACTGAAATGAATCCTTTCATGAATGGTTCCTTCTCCATTGGGTGAGAAAGTATTAATCTCCTCACAAAGAACCACGAAAAAATACAGCATCCTTAGAAATAGAATAGTTTATGTAGAGTAGGATGGACAGTGCTATATCTTTTTGACAAATAAAATAACATTGAATTAAACAGATACTGTAGTAGGAACTCTTAAGCTGGCACATGGCATTTGAAGAGATAAATTAAATATTTCCTCCACAGAGAGAACTTACTGAATTCTGATGAGTAAGTTTCACACCATAATCAGTCTTCAATATTGACCATGAAAAGCTGAGTATCACTGCCCCAAAAGAAAGATCATATCTGGAATACATCCCTTAGGCTAATTTTAAAAGCAATTATTTGAACAGATAGCTGAAGGATGAGGAAATAAGCAAGGAAGAACATGTGTTATACCTGCCATGTATTGCGAACAATAAGTACCATAACACTCAATTAGTAGGGCCAATAGGAAGAATAATGAGAATTGCATTTTGAATTGCCTAGTGTATTCAAGGTTTCTTAGACCTGGCTAACATGGTTTCTTGTTGTTGTGTGCCTTCAAGTTGTTTTTGACTCATGGCAACCCTATTAGCTCCAGAGAATACACAACCTGCCATCTCATTTGGACATGGTCTCCAATGAATTACACTTGACCTATTAAAATGTAACAAAATCCCTAAAAGGATGTTTTCACAATTCAAGCACTGCAACACACTTACCATACACGTGCGAGAGTTTTCTCCTATGAATGAATCTCTCAGGACCTGAGTAAGTTTACTCGCTCTGAATGGCGTATGAGGTTTATTTCGGCCTAAGGCTCTGATGCACTCCTGTAAAGAGTAAGTATATTTATGTTTTTTCTTCTGCAAAATCTCTACAAAATAAACAAGCCAAATAAACAATACATTATATGGCATTTCACATGTTTATAAGCTAGTATCAGCAAGGTACTTCTGGTATTTCTAATTAGAGGCCTAAAAAAATATGCCTAAAAACCAAGGATGACTTTCAAGGAATTTTATGTCTTTCTTTATGGAATATGCATACCTGCTAAAGATGTATTTCACTATTACTGATAACAATAATAACAATAATAACAAGGCTTAACAATACCAATAGGAAGGATATCACTGCTATTTCAAACGAGAAGAATGCTTTGACAAGTGGATTTGAGGATTCCTAGATAGCTGAATTCCAATCTATTTTATTTTTTATCTTGATACAAAAACTATCAGAGGTTGTGGATTAAGCCATTCAATTATAAATGTTCCATTTATTTCTAACAATTGTAATTTGGAACATCTGTGGTTGTTTAGTTATTCTTAGTTGCCTATATAATTAATGACAAACGAAAGAAGAGAAGATGACAAACGAAAAAGAGAAAGAGCACAATTCACTGCAATTAAATACAAATGAATGCTAAATCTTGAATTTATATTTTTCATGTGCTGAATTAGCTATGCAAACATATCCAAATACAAAACACATAAATTATGGATATTTATTGTTGGATTTCTATTGCTAGCAAGTTACACAAACAGCAAAAAATGTTTGCTGCTAAAATACTGTAGGTTCTTTTCCTAAGGAGAAACTAACATGTCAAAGATAGACACAATGAATGAATGACTACATACAAAAGACAACTTCATCCGAGGCCAAATACTGGAATCTTTCAAATGTAAATAAATGTAGCAAAGCAAGGAATAGAATTACCATATTTTCTGGCGTATAAGACAACAGAGCATATAAAATAAATAAAGAGAGTATAAAATGACCCCCAACTATTCCAGTTAAAATATAGTTTGGTATATACTTGCCGTATAAGACTACCACTTTTCCAATGCACTCCAAATAATTTTTTTAAAAATATCAGATTTTATTTCAATATTGTAATTTTCCTATTACCATACCTTCTTCTCTGCCTCTCAGATCTCGCACATGTGCATCTGTGCCGCTTCACTGCAGTCCTCAGGAGCGAGATCTGAGAAGCAGAGAAGTAGGTACGATGATAGGATACAAGGCCAGGTCAGACAGGTGAAAGAGATGTTTGTCTGGGCACAGAGCCACTCTATCTCTTTTTTCCGTACCCTGGGAGTCCCGGACACTTGCAGCTTGCTCTGCCCTTCATTTACACCTTTCCGCAGCCGTTTTTGAGCTCCCCCCCCCACCCCACCATATGTGGCGATTCTCAAATGCGGCTCAGAAATTTCAGCACCCGCTCTGTAAGACGACACCCTGCGTATAAGACGACCCCTGACTTTTGAGAAGATTTTCCTGTAGTCTTATACACTATAAAATGCAGTATATTATTTTGGCATGTCCCCAAAAGAAATGGGAAGAATACATTTTAACTAACCATCACTGTATTACATAAGAGTTGTTTTCTGGTTAGCTAAGTAAGTCCGAACGAAAACTGTAAAATTCAGGTGACTTCAAGATATATAAATCCACGTATGAGGTAGAAGATCAGTTTGCTTTATCTTTCAAGGTTTCAAATGTCTTCCCCAACTGAATAGAAATTCAGTAAATAACTCCCTCCTTCACCTTATAATTCCAGTCAGAACTGGGTGACATTTCTTGATGTATTAGCTCTTTCTAAGGCAATGAGGTTGCTAAACATCAGAGATGTAAGTGTGAGGCTCAAAAGGCATGTATTTTACAAATTCCTTAGGCTTGAAAATATGTTGTTGTACTCTGCTCAATTTACATGATACTGCAAAGCTATCAGAAATAGGCTGGAGGAAAGAATCAAAACATCTGTTCACAGAAAACTCAAGATGGTGGCCAAAACTCATATATAAGTTGACTTCATATTGAAAACGAGGGTAGGTTTTAGGGTCAAAATACAGATTTTGATATGACTTCTGGATAAGTTGGAGGTCATTCTGCAAAGAAGTGAAAGCACCAGCACTGTTTCAAAAAGCCACCTGCTTCTCAACACCACAACCATTTTCGAACCTAGGCTTAAAAAAAAACAACCTTTTGCCACTCTATTCAGAGAAAGCAATGGTTCATTTTTTGATAAAAGCTGAAATGGGGAAAGTCGGTGGTTTTATTACATTAGACACAATGGCAGGCATTTAATTTACCTTGAGTGCTAAAAGGCTCTTGTTAATTTCAGCACCTTCCAGTCGTGTTTGTCTGTCTGCACTAGAAGTGTCTGCTCCTCTTTCATTCCCAGCCAAGTCAATCAATGAAAATTTACCATGCAGTTTCCCTTTTCTCCTGAGGATGATCTGAAACACTGCGTGACTCCGAGATGAGTGTGCATTTGCAGATGTCTGACCAGATGTTCTTTAACAGAGTGGGAAGAGAAGAGGAGGAAATGCCATTGAACCACAAATTATCACCAAGAATAGCATCTTCAGCACTGTTTATCACAGCTAAGCTCGTCTTTTCTGTTGACAGTTTAAAGGATACTCCAGCTTTCATCAAAATAAAATAAACAAGGCGTTTGTTGTATCTGCATACCAATTACCTTTTCTCATCAGCTATGATACAGATATTAGCTATGAAACACAATAGCATCTCTTTTTTCTATTTCCCATTTATCACATCACTTTCTGTTTAAATTCTATTGAGACTACTTTTTTAAAGCCACTTATACTATTTATGTCTAAATTTAAGTCTGAATAATAAACAATATTATGTTTAGTCAGAACGTGACAATATGTCAAAGAATTAGAAGCATGTTTAAACAGTAAGCTGATTACAGAAATGCATACAGTTTCTAACACACACAAACAGACTTTTACTATTTCCCTGAAATGGCATTTTAGAACACAATGTCTTACAAAATTGATGCAATTTCAAAATATTTCTGTTGTCTATGTCCCAGAACAGTTAATTTCAAAAGATCGAAATGTTTAGAAATATTCACATTTACTATAACTGACACTCGAAAAGGCAAAAAGAATACCTGCAACTGTTGCCTATCTCAATAAGCTTTAATACATCTTCAACACATTTAACCTCTCGCTCCTGTAATCCCACCACCTGGACTTGCTGTTTACCATCTTCTAAAACTCTTAATTTGGTCTTCCTGTTCAATAAGTCGAAAACCTTATGGGGATGGGGGAGAGCAGGAAAAGAGAAGGAGAAGAGATGTGTTTGTTAGCAACTAACACATCTAATGTTCTTTGGAACATTAACTATTCCTTTGTTCTGTGACAAAACCAAATCAGTTAAGAGATAAAGAGATACAAAATCAGAGATAAAAACTGAGAACTCCTGACAAATAATTTCCCTTAAAATCTACTAAAGAGGTAGATAATTGCATATTTTAAAATAGCATACCTTTCCACTGTAAATTTCAAAAAACGTTGCATATACTTGAAGTTCTAGTTTCTTATAGTTTGGTTTCTTCAGCATTAAAAAGACATCTCTGGCTGTGAATTGGTTAAAAACAATGGTAGTGAGTGACAGGTAGTGAGTGACAGAAAAAACTTTGCAGGCAAACTTATTGACATACTGACTTCTATTTCTTAAAGCCAAATCCTAGACCCAATTAGTTTAGGCAACTGAATCAATTTTTAATTCAACACTTATACATATTCCATTGGTTCAATGGGTCTACTCGAACTGGAATTAGTAGTGGCACTCCGACCCATGTATTAAATTCCCAAAGAATAACAGTTTGCTTTTCTGTAGCACTTGGAGTGTTGAGTGTACTTCATACACACACCCTATCACAACATAGTGCCAGGTGTGTAAAGATAAAAAAAAACTTATATACAAATATTAGGCTTCAGCACTCTTCCTCTCCTCTCTTCCCCCTGCATAGCCAGGAGAAGGAATAAAAAAGCAAACAATTTCACAATGTCCATATCTAGGCTTCTTATTACATGTAAACTAACTTTAATAAACTAATCCATACTGCAAAACAATTAAAAAGTCAACAGCAAATGAAAGATTGCTTAACTGCAATGTTTACCAATGCATTTGAGTTTATTTTAAACTATAACTCTGGTCTTTACAAAACAAGATAGGAATCAGACAAATCAGCCATGCAGGCATCTTTTTTCATGTTTATAGCATGAAATTACAATATAGCATTATGAGCAGATGTGTCACCCTTCTACAACATGTATAAGAAACCAATGGAATGATTTTGCATGTATTTTGGGGGGGGGGGGGGAGTAGCAAAAGCTACAAGAGACCATGCATGAAATTTGATTTCTCTGATGCTGGGATTTGCAAGTGGCTGTCACTAATGGAAGATGTTCCCACTGCTATTCTCCACTGAATATTACCAAAAGCCACTCCTGAGGGTTGGATAAACCAAATAAAGTGGAATACAGTGCAAAGAAAATCTGCTAGAATAAGGTGTGAGTATTTTATATAAGAGATCCATAAAACCTCATTATGTCTTCAACAGCTTCTTTAATTCTTCCCAATAAGCCCCTCTGTCCATATCATTCTCTGTTTTGCAGCCTCCCCAATCTTCAGAAGCAGCTTTTGGAGAACACAGTGACGCTCATGGAAAAAAAAATCCCTCTGTACTCTTCCCCCTGCCTACATTTCTCAGAGTTAAATCCAGTGTAATTCAGCTTTGGGCCTGCAAGAACTGCCAAATAAACAAACTTCACTTGTTACTTCTGCCCCTTGCTTATGTAAGAGCCATGTGCTTCACCAAAAATCAATGGATAGCTCACTGAGTAATTGCCAGCCTTTGACTACAGAGAAGCAATGGACACTACATTCTTAAAGTAAAAACCTGATACTATTTATCACACCTTAACCTAGTTCTTCAAGCCTGCAATCTCCATTTTGGGACTTTGATCTTTTATAACATCCTGAAAATGGCCAGGATAATTTCTGGACATTTCAATACATTCTCCAATTTAATACACCACATCCAACACAACCAAGGGGCTCTGGAGAACATGGTAGCTCATTTATTTATAATATTTCAGAACTCTAATAAAGGTTTAACCAAACTTGATTTTTTTTTTTTTTGTGCTCATGAACCTCAAAACAAAAGTAGGGATGGATTTGCTTTGCTGTGGATTAACCATAGGCCCACTAAGTAGTATTAGACTCCTAGGCTCTGCTCATCAGAGGAGTATTACTAATCTTCATCACTTACTACAGAAGTATGCAGCTATAAGACGCAAATTATTTTGCACAGAACCAAGGCAGATACTCACCTGCTAGCGCATAAATTCCTTTTGAACAATCTTGATTCTTTCCTGAAAAATCACCACCCATAGTCTGAAGGAAAATATAATAAAGTAAAACCATAACACTCCACATACTGATGACTAAGAAGCATTTAGTAACCATTTAATTAAGCAGATTCATTAAAATCAATGGGCATGTACCAAAATATTGAGTTTGCTCCCTTCAGGTGCTGGAAATACATTATCCTTTTACATTACTGGCAACAATAAATATTCTGAAAGAATTCCATAAAAATGAATCAAAGCTTAATTGTATATGGGTTTTATAACACCAAGGCAATTTGGAAGCAAATAACCTTTGAAGTCTCTAACATGTGTAATTAAGCAGTTCTGCAATAAAAGAGGTCCACTATTAGTGTTAATTTGTCAAAATCTCTTGTAGCTGGTTAAGTTTAGAACAAAATAATTCTGCAGGTTGCATAATTTATTTAAGAACACTTACATGGGTTTTTCCACTGCCCGTTTGTCCATAAGCAAAACAGGTAGCCATTCCTCTTTCAAATATGGTTTCTACCAGGGGTCTTGCAGTAAACCTTTAACAAAAAGAACAAACATACCAGCTATTACATTTAGCTCACGGCTGGTGAAAACAAAACAAAAAGATCAGTGCAGTCTTTATAACTATCTGCTTGAGTTAAAGCAAAGAGAGGTTGGGGAAACACAATCAACCCAATAACAGAGTACTTTGACACAGGTTCGAGTTAGAATTCAGAGATAGTCAGATCATATTTTCTGCCTTCTGAACACTTTAGAATGAGAGTACAAAGGGTTTCTTAAGGTCTTTCACTTCTAGAGAAGTTTTCTAAAACAGAATTCAATTTCCACACATAAGAAATTCAACAGAACTACCTTGGTCAGAAATCAGCTAAAAGCACTGCAACATTTACTGAATCAGATAAGGATCAGATCCTGCATCTTTTTTTAAAAAAAATAAAAGAACAAAAAGCAATTCAGCAAATGAAAAGACAACACTCACATACCAACCAACAGTTCTCCAAAACATCACTGAAATGATTTAAAATGATCAGTGACAAGTCTCCATGCAATTTGTGTGTGTGTGTAGCAGCTTTAAAATTTCAACTAAAACCTGGGTAGATCCACAATCACCACTGTTGCTATCTAGATCAAAGAATAAAATACAAAATAATTACTATATTTCACTGCGTAATAGTCATCACCACATAATTGGTGCACCCCTCTTTTCCAGTGCAAAAACTTGTTTCTTAGTTTTCTTCGCTTAATTGTTGCATTAATCCTACCCTCTTGGAGGTAAGACATTTTTAAAAAGAAACGAATAGAAACGAGCCAGCAAGGATTCTAACTCCTCCCTTCTCATTGTTTCTCGGAGGCAAAACAGGTTTAAAACAAAACTAAACAGAAAAAAGACAGCAAACCTAAGGCCCATGTTTTTCTTTACATAATGGTCCTGTCCCCTTTTGAAAAAAAAAAAAGAATGACATAAAAATGCAACGATTATGCAGTGAAATATGATAATTTGAAATCTTCCAGGAGACGGAACTGTGCACTGCCAGGGCATCCAGTCTCTTTGTTTCTCTTTTATTTATTTATTTATTTATTTATTACATCCAATGAACTCCTGGACTGACCTTGAGGGAGCTGGGGGTGGTAACGGCCGACAGGGAGCTCTGGCGTGGGCTGGTCCATGAGGTCACGAAGAGTCGGAGACGACTGAACGAATGAACAACAACCAATGAACTCCAGGTAGCATGCAGATTCAACTCCTAATCCCACCTTCCATTCTAACTATGAAGAAGTGGAGTTCTGGGGATACTTTTTCCAAGTTCATCGTTGCATTTCATACCCATTTTTAGAAAAATGCCACCAACTTCCTAAGAAACCTTGTACAGAGCTTTCTATCATCTCCAAGAAAGACATATATCAAAGGAAGTAGGAAAAGCAACACCTTTACTCCAGTTCTCAAGTATGCAAATGATTCAGGGGACATCACAATTCAAGGAAAAGTACGGTGAGTTGCAGAATTAGCAGCTGAACAAAACCTTTGCTTTGTAAACTTTATGATATCTGGATGCAGGTACTTTCTGTTCTCTGATTTATCTTCCAGCAAACCAGAATGACAATCCCTGTAAACCAACTCTAGAGCATACAACAAACTCCTGATACAAACATGCACAACAGATGTCATATGCCAAGATCCCACTAGTAGAATAAAATCCAATCTGCTTATTGTGTCATCCAAACCACACTACAGGATAATAGCAAGAAACATCAAAACATGCAAAGGCAACACATACCTGTAGACCATTTCATTAGGTGCGCTGTCATCAAAGGCATAGTCAAAACGGAAAGTTTGGTTTTCTAAGTACCTTGTTAAATCCACTTTTTGTTTGGGTTCATGTACCATAACAACATCTTTGCTAGGGATTGTTATTACATCAAGATCTTTCACTACAGTTTCTAAAAAGGAAGAAACATGTATAATTTTCAGGACTTATAGCCAAGATTCTTCCAGAAGGTATTCATATGTCCAGAATTCTAGTATTGAATCAATTTGATTAAAAGAATCAGATATATGCAAGTCCTAGCAGTAGTCATGCATTTTAAAATGTATTCTGTATGGTGATAAAAAATACTGCCTTCATACACTGGAGTAACTCTAGGTATACTTTATGAAAACAAGCTTGGAATTATTTCATGAAGTAAAAATATATCAAATTATTTTATTAAAAATTAAAATATTTGTTATTTGGGCATTATGTGGTAGCATATTTCAGCTGTGCATTTTGAATGCAAAGGTGTACGCAATCTATTTTTTAGAAAAGGTTTTAGTTTCACATACTTTCCGTTATTCCACTGCATCTAGTTCTGAAAAGTCTGATTAGCGCTTTCCTATATCAATCAGAATTGTGCATTTGTGAATTACCAAAAAAATAAAAATAAAATTAGTGTATATAAATTACTTGTTTGTTACTATACCTTTTGCAGAAGTGTAACTTAATGGTCTTAAGCACTACTGCTGTAAATACAATTTGAGTTTGTTTGTTTATTTATTTATTTGCTGTATTTATATATCGCCTTTCTCAACCCCCCCCCCCCCCACTGGGGGGAGGGGAGGTGGTCAAGGCAATTTATAACACACTAATACTAACATTTCAGTGCCAACATACATAAAATTTAAACATTCAGACAAGCATAAAATCATCCCAGTATAAACATTCAGACTGTTTAGTTCATGAAACTTAACAAGTATGATTAAAAGGTTTATTGCAGTGAGCACAAGATATAAAGGACATCAACCATATTGAAAAGAACTAAGGATTTTAAACTTGATTTCATCAATTTGTGCATTAATTAATATCTATCGTTCATTGTATGAAATGGCTGAATCAGCAAAAACATAAACAAAGCCCAATGTTTCACAAGACAGACAAACAAAAGGTGCTTTGTATGTACCATCAAATATATTCATGTGCCCTATTTATGTGTGGGAGAAACTGCTTTCAGAGAAAGCCTGAATATACTAATATTTCTCTCATGCAAAGTGCTGTACAGTACTTTAAATATGTGATTTTGTTTTAACTTCCTAGTTGCAAAAAAAGCAACCAAAATTTAACTTCCAGTGTTTTAAATACAGAGTATTGTCACTTTTACTAGAAAATAAAATAAACAATTCTGTGCTATATTGGACGTTAAAACATTAACAATATTGACGGAAAGAAATATGTGAATATTTTTCTTAAGGCAGACTTTCAGTGTTTTGCTTTGTATGACCATGGTATAGCTAAATTACAGTCATTATGCTCGGAACAATAGCTTTTATTGTAGTACCACCAAGTATTACCTCATTAACAGGTGCAGATGCTGTAGATACTGTGCAAATTAAGAATTGGAATAGAGGAATATGTATGGTTTTTGTATATGTATCAACAGCCTGCAGAACACAACTGTGGAGTTTTTTAAAAAAAATAATTAAAATGTAAGTATTTTGGTTACCTTTGAGAGAAAGGAAAGTGATTTCTAAAAAGCTTTTCAAACTACATGTTCTGTTAAAACATAGCCATCTTTTCTTTTCCACATCCCCCAATGAATGAAAAACATATCTAAAGCAAGAATCGTGCATACATTTTTCTGGGAATTAATATCATTGAGTATAATAGGGCACAGAACTGCCATGCAAATATATCCATTTAGTTGGCAAGAAATAAGCGTTGACCTCTGCCCTAAGATTACATTGAGTGCAACTGAAACTGCTGAAGATACCTTTGAAAACGTATTTTCTAAAATAGCTCTTACCGACTACTAAGATCTTCTGCTTAAAGTTGAAATGTTATATCATTAAACCATGAAATAAATAGTTAAAACAACAATTATGGAACATCTCACAAACACTGAGCAACTAAGCTGAGAAAAGAAAAGACTTCAAAGAACTTATCTGTTTAAGACAATGAATATCAAATTATGACTTTTGAAAAAGTTGGGGAAATATAGTTTTACTATTAAAATAAATACAATCTATGTTGTCTAGCAAAGGTTTACCAATAAAAACACATATATACAGAACAGCTATGTCAAAACATAGAAGAATCTGCTGTGGAGACAAACTGTAAATATGAAAAAGTGATCTTGAGAAATATAGAACTAAGATACCATAATCTCTGTTGGCAATGTCAACAGAGCAACTACAATGCTGTTCAGTGAAAATGGAATTTCTTCTTTTAGCTATCTTTGGATAACTACTGATTATATAACCTCTACTGAAACGGAACTAATTAAATCCCTATCAGACTGCAAGCTAAATGTATATTCCCAGCTTTTGATAAACCATTTCAACTGGATTCTTTTTCTTGTCATCTGCTTTGTTTTAAGACCACAGATCAAAGAGCTTTCTAAAAATGTTAAATATAGGAAAGAGAAAAATATGAGAAGAAACACATGGACAATGGCCTCAAATGTAACAGCTTCTGCCTTTCAATTTCCATGGAATTCAATGGACTTTTTTTTGTTTTTGTTTTCTGGATGCAAGCTAAACTTGAAAATGCATTAAATAACTAACGTAAAATGTTAGAATATTAGAGCAGTTTCCCAACTACTCATATTTAGAATCTTCCAAACATGGTTTAACTCAGGCAAAATGCCAATATGTAATTTAAAGACAACAAAACCAGGAATACTAATATATCCTGTTAATTAGAGGTGACATTTTTCAAGGTGAGATCTGACACAAAAATTACCCTAAAATTTCCAACCATGGCACTACTCTACAGCATTGAACACAAACTGAAAGGAAGTTCAAGCTGAAGGGAAGTTCAACTACTGCAAATTAAGAAAAATAATGTATAAATATTGCATTACTCAAGGTAATGTGGCTAAAGAAGACAGGAATGAGATATTTTCAATCAGATAATTACAGAACATTTTACTCAGGAAATGAGATGATGAGAAGAAATGGAGTGGCATTAATGGTGAGGAGAGGTGTAGCAAAAGCAGTCCAACCAGTTTCACAATACAATACCAGTAAGACCTTAGGGAAAACCCATCAGTGTGACCATAATCCAAGTTTATGTTCCAGTTGCAGAGACAGAAGGGAAAGAAACTGAAAGATGCAATGTTTGAGTCCAGGATTACTAGAACAAGGTGTGTTGGTAATAATTAATGACTGGAATGAAAAAGGTGTAAACAGAACCAAAACTTTGTATAGTCATTTGGGATGAAGAAAGGAAGCAGAAGAATGACCGATTAAAAAAGAATGATCGATTGAAGTTGGTGAGTCTCAAAAAGGTTTGTTCATTGCAAATGCATACTTCAAGCAACCACAAATGTGACTACATACACGGATGTCACCTGATGTCAAATACAGAAATCAGATAGGGCAGAGTTCCCAAACTGTTTAAACCAAGGGCTGGTTTACGGATCCTTAAGACTGCTGAGAGGGCAGATTATAGTTTGAAAAAAACATGAACGCACACTATGCACACATTTTATTTGTAATGTAAAAAAATATATGAAAGAACACACTATTTAAAATGAAGAACAATTTTGACTATCATAAATGTACCAGTATTTCAATGGGAGGGGTGGGCTTGTTTTGGCTGATGAGATAGTCAGGTTAGTTATGGTTGTTGTTGTTGTGTGTCTGCAAGTCATTTCAGACTCATATCACAGAGTTTTCTTGTCATTATTTATTCAAAAGGGATTTGCCTTTGTTTTTATCTGTGCCTGAGAATATAACGTCGCTAAAGTCTTCCTCTCTCCTTCTCTCATTCCCTTCTTTTCTTCCTCCTTCCCTTCCTTTCTTCCATCCTTCCTTTTCCCTCCATTTCCTTTCCCTCTTCTTTCCTTTCTCTCCCTTTCCCTCCCTCTCCCTCTCCCTTTCTTTTCCTTTCCTTTCCTTTCTCCCTCCCTCCCTTTTTCTCTCCCCTTCCACACTTGCTTGGTTGCTTCCTCTCTCCCTGTCGTCCTTCCACAGCGGTGTGGGCAGAGTGAAGAGGATGGGATGGGGTAAAGGGGACAAAGTGGAATGATATGGACAGAGTGAAAAGGATGTGGTGGTATGAAAGGTATAGGGTGGAACAAAGGGAATGGGAGCCACACTTTGAGGACCACTGAAATAGGAGATATAATTAGGGGCAAAGAGAACTGCCAGATGATAACTAACAGAGGAAACAGATGATGAAACATAAAAGGTAGAGGATGAGACTTTTTTCATAATATCCAAGAATATTTTTAAAAATGCAAACCAAGACCAGGGAAGTTATTCGACCAGTAAGAGAATATAATGCATGGTCAAGAATAAATAAAGAAGGCAGTGATAGCATAACACTGAAGAATTGCATAACAAAAAAGAAAGAATGGCAGATGCATTCAGGGAAGAACTGCTTTAAGTTATAGAGATGGACTGTCCTCCAGTTCTAATTGCACTCTGTCAACCAATATGCAAAACAAAGCAATGGCCCACAAATTGGAAATGAATACTATCCATTCCAATTCCCAAAACTGGTGCTGAAGAGGAGTTCTACAGATACCACGGACAGTAAGAAAGACAAATAAATGGGTCCAAAGCCAATCAGACCTGAATTGTCCCTAGAAATCAATATGATTAAATGGAGACTGGTAGATTTTGGACAAATTACAAAAAGGCATGGCTTCCTAGAAAAGATAATATGCTTGACCTGTAAATAAAACCCAAGGAAGACTGCATTACAGTGGATAGACTCAATCAAATAAGCTACAGCCTTGAATTTACAAGACTTGAATTGGACAGTTGATAACAGAGTGAGTGAGAGGTCTCTCATTCATAAGGTCACCATAATTCAACTCGAACATAGTTAAGAAAAACACAAAAGGGACAGATTGAAATCAACATCATCACATACTATTTAACAAGAAGACAAGTACTGCTCTGGCCACACTGTGCTGGCTTCAAATTAGGTCAGTACTACATGGGTTAGGTTCACCTACTTCTCTCCTCCTATTGCTAGGTTGAGCTCCTACAAGCACAGCTAATCCTCAGTTCATCTTCTCTTTAGCCATTTCCCTCCTGTATTTCAAGACAGCCAGAAGCTGTGCAAGTACTTTGCTGTAAAACAAGTGACTGCATACACACACACCAGCACAAGCATCAACTCAGCAAATGTATATCACTTGCACTTCTGTCTTGCTTCAGTCCTAGCCCCTACAGATTGTTAAGAAATGACATCTTTTACTCATGCCCTCTTGACAACCGTGGCAACGCCTAAGTAATTGCTGGATTATCAGATGATGTAGGACATCATCTGATAAATGGCCCCCTCCCTGTTGTCCTTCTGTGGCAGGCTAAAACCTTTTTATTCAGACAGGCTTCTAAAGATGAACGTTTTTAAGATCGAGTCAGGGGTGCTGTGGTTTTTAACTATGAATATGTTTTAATTAGTTTTAACTGTGAATTTTAAAAAACTGTTTATATTTAATTTTGTTTTAATGTTTGCATATTTGTATATTTTAAATTGTATGTGAATGCTTTTATTATGTGAAGCCACTTTGAGTCTCCTTCAGGAGAGCTAAAGCCGGGTATAAATATAATAATACTCATCATAATCTGTACTCTTTCTTTCTGGAGGTGGATGGGTCCCAAAACACCAGGTCAACATTAGCTACAAGCTTCCAATATGAATAAGTTGGTGGGAGATGTGGAGTGCCTGATTTACCATTTTGAAATAAAAAATACTGTGATATTAATATATGCACCATAGTGCAGCATTAAATGAAATGGGATGTGTAGAGACTTGACTTCTTAAATTAACAATATATCACAACTGTTTAACAAAGTTCAGCTGACATAGTATTAAACTGAAGTACTTTAGATCTAAAGTATCTTCTTTATTATTATTTTATTGTTTTATTCCACTCCCATCCTCCCCTCAGCAAACTACAGAAGTTACATTTGAAATATCAATCTTAGTCTTAATTTTTCCACTCCATATCTTTGCACTTTCTCTAAATAATTCCTAACTGGTTCCCACATCCTCTTAATTACTCTATGTAACCTTTTCAATTTTATATATATTGTTCCATTTGCAATTTGTTATTTCCCCATTTAACATATTAACTATATACTTATATCAATTCCTCAGAGCCCACTTTGTTTTATCTTTCCAACCCCTCACTAAAACTATTTGTGCACATGCTATTAATTTGTCAACCAACTCCTATTTTACTTGCATATAGTAGTACATTTCTATTAACTATTACTACTATACTACTACTACTACTAATAGATTTAACATTCTATTGATTTCTCCTTCAATCATTCTTGCACTTGATCACATTCCCACATCATGTGATTAAACACTCCTCTTTGTTCACAACCATGGCAACACCTGTCCTTTATCCCTGGTAAACAAAACGTGAAAGTTGTGCAGGAATTCTGTACAATTTTTGTAACATTGTCCTTCTTGCTTCCCTTAATACATTGTACTTTTCTTTTACTATATTACTTATTTCTCCTTGGATGTCTTCTCTCTCAATTTCCATGTCCATTTTCAATGTTTGAAAATTTCATCTATTATTTCTTCTTTTACCATTATGATTTGTTCATACAAATCTCCTGCCACCTTCTTCTCCTATCTCAAACATTTCTTAATCACCTTCTCAAATTGACTATCCTGTTCTCTATTTTCCCCTCCTTCTAAAGTATCTATATCATCTTATATTTAGTCAATACAGTTGAATCACTAGTTGTAATCTACCACTTTATTCATATTTGCACCTGAACAGTTCTACTCAAATCATGGAAAGAATCTGCTTTAATTGGAGTTCTTATGCCTTTTGAGAAAATAACACAAACAAAAAAACTATCTAAAATAATTGTTGAATTTAGGGTGTTGCTGGAAAAAGTACAGAAAAATTAACTGCTAATCTGCGAAGCGAACCAACAAAACTACCCGAGTATTTCTTGCCTAATAAATGAATGGTATCACCAAAAGTCCACAGATGACATGTATACGCAATGAGAATGTAATTCTATTGCATTGGGAGTACAGAATAATCATCTTTATTAAAATTAAGATATGCATAAATTGTAAATACAAAATAAAAAAGTTCTATAAATTACATACAGATGATGCTAAATCAAACTCAAAATACAAAAAAATGGTCCCAATACATATCCGGGGTGTCAGATATTGAGATGCCCAAGGAACACCTCTGTTCATATGTAGTAGCAATGTAATTTAACTCAAGAATGACATCACAGACATTAAGCTACAGTTAAACCCCTCAACAATATTTTTGAGAAATATTAAAAGGCCATGTTGGAAGGCACCAACATATTAGAATTGCCCATGCTAATTGCTACCCTTGGAGAAGTCTGAGAGAACAAATCAAATGTCAACAGAAGAGGATGATCATTAACACTACTACGGACTACTATGGGAAGCTACAACTAATACAGTAGCCTCAAACCAAGAAACAGCTACAACTTATTCCTAGCTAGATGAGATACAAATTGTATCAATTAGTAACAGTGGGAATTTTAAGGATGCAATATTTTTAAATCTAATGTTTGACGTATGATTGTATATAATAACCTGGTAAAATGTCTTACTAAACAGGAATTCCAAGAAGGATTGCCAAATAAATCTAGAACTTCAACTTTAGATAATGCAACCTAAGAGATGTTAGTGAAAGATTACTTAACACATCGCTGTTCTTCACAAAGCATGCCGGTGGGACATTATGTAACCAGTACATTACATAATTCCAGAGTAATCCTTTCCCCTCCAAAATACCATTACAAGTTCAACATTAGTCTGTAACACACTAACAACTCATTCAGTCAGGTAGCATGGTGACTTCAGAAGCCTCTGAATAATCAGATATTTAAAAGGAAGTGTTATTTACATATGAATCTGTGATCTTAAAAAAGCAGACTTGCATTCTAGCAGCATAGTACTACACAGCTTAATCCTTCTAGCAGCCAAATGCACTTAGAAAAGGTTTTAAACATTTAGGATTGCCTTCTTCTTCACATTTCAGAGGGAGCACATCTATTATGAAAGCCTGCACTGTAACAGGAGAAGACATTTTTAAATATACCCAAATACAAAGGATTGCACGTTCAATGCAAAAACCTATAAAAAACAGCCGGGGGGAAACGGCCATGTTGTGAACACATCCACAAGAGGACTCAGAAAGACTCTGATGAAAGACGATAAGGCCCATTCTCTTCCAAGTCCAAAAGCCTAGGTAAATACCAGTTACATGTGCATTTTAATCTGATGGCTGTTTCTAAAGATACTTATTTCTACTCGTTAACAGAAGTCTTTTCCTGCAAGACAATAGAGAAAGGGGATATTCCTCTTCCTTATTCAAATTTCTAACTTATAACACTCAGTCTCTGTTTTCAAATGCAATAGCTTTGTGCTCAGTTGTTTTAGAGAATAGAGTCTTGAAGAGTCGCATGTCCAACCTCTGCCCTGATATGTGTCCTTCCCCTTTGGAGGGATGGGAAAGTGAAAATTTCAACAATGCCCTTTCTTTCACTTGGAAAACACACTGACAAACAGCCAAGCACATTTCTTCAGATCCCGTTAAACCATCACTATCCTTTAGTTTTAAAATGCACACACAATCAAAAATAAAATTATGAGTGAAAATTGTTTTTATTCTTGTATTCAGAAATAGTCTCATTTAAAGGCTAATTGTTGAACATTCTTAATGTATCAGTTCTCTAAATTACGTTATTTTTATTTTTTATTAATTTTGCATATTGTGAACCTGACAAAGCTGAAGGAATTTTAATAACTAACTGCAGAACACTTAACATAGTTGCAGTAAAATGTTTTAAAAACTAGTCTTCTACAAATATATTAAGTAAAATTAACCAGGCAATAGAGGTAAAAGTCTCCATATTAAAAAGAGTCATACCTTTTTTATTGAGTGGTCGCTTTCGAACACATACACATATTCTGTGCTCATCAATCTGAGGGGGAAACGACAAAAATGTGTGATTTTATATGAAATCTAACATTTAATTGGCAAGTTATTGCAGCAATTTTTTTCCATGTCAGAAGCAACTTGAGAAACTGCAAGTTGTTTTCTGGTGTGAGAAAATTGGCTGTCTGACCAGATGCTTGATGTTTTACCATCCTTGTGGGAGGCTTCTCTCATGTCCCCACATGGGAAGCTGGAACTGACAGAGGGAGCTCAACCTGCTCTCTCCGGATTCAAACTGCTGACCTGGCACAAGGGTTTAACCCATTGGGCCACAATGTCTTATTTTTAGGAAAGCCTCGTGTGATCTTGGATTCACCACTACAAACACTTAGCAGTTAGCTCCCAATGCAGCACATATCTAGAAGTTGGGTCACCTGGGAAATCTGAGTGATCATTTCCCCATTTTTATTAAATTAGCAGTTTACAAAAGTCCCTCCAGATATTTTTGGATGGCAATCATTCCTCACCACTGTCTATTCTGGTGAAGGTGCCAGGAGTTTACATTCAATCAAATCAAGAGGGCTGCTTGACTCATACATTACAGGATTATTTTGATCGTGGTCATATTTTTTCAGCCATTTAGAACAACTCATCTAACACGCGATGTGCAAGTTCATAAATTATATGATCCATATTAAATCATCCATACAGATTTATTATACCTGTTAAAATGCAACTACAAAAGTGTAAAATCTAGTTCAGATAAGGTGTTGCTTTGGGTCTCTTTTATCAGTAACAGGAGTGGAGTTCTAAAAAGATCTTTGTCTCCGGTCACAGCTCTTTCAGTCTCATGAGTACGTTTAGGAACCTCTGAGAACACAGGTTGCCATAACTAAGATCTCATAGTTCCCAGCTAGGAAAAGCAAAATATAACTATTAGAAAGCAAAGCAAATGAAGCTAACATATAGGCCATCTCTAGATAACATGTTACAATTACATGTGAATGAAATAAAATAATATATATTTGCCAGAATTCTAATAGTGAAAAATTAGTATCAGAGTTTACGGCATTGTATTTCTTTGAGTATTTTCTTCAAACAAATACAAAATGGTTCAAGAACAAAAACCACATGAGGGTTGAAGCACACATTCCTCTATTTCTTACCTAATTTAGGATTCAGTTTTCAGACAACTTTACTAGTACAGCACCCACTCAAATTGGTAAGCTTGTGTAAATGCAGCTGTTTCAAGAGATTTCACAAATGTCACTGCATATTTAATATTTGTGTTATGAACACAAAAAAATCTATTTTGAAGTGCCTCAAGGTTTTATATTTTGATAACATCATAACAAAACGTACGGGATCTGCAGTTGTCAGTGGTCTATAATCCAGACTTCCTCTAAAATCTCTGATCATGCACATAATTTCATAGTTTGGATTTGTAGCATCAACATCCTAAAAGAAAGAAAAATGTATATCAATATTATAATATACGACTCAGCTTTCATGAATTAACTTCATATGCAATACTAGAAACCTGAAGTACTAAGACTCTGAAACCTTTTATGATGAACTGTAGAAAGGCCATAATCTAAAAGGGAAAAAACTCTTCTGAGTTCCCAATGAGTTCATGTAAACACTGAATAACAGTAATCTGGTATTATTTTCTTGAATCCAAATACAAATAAGAGATGAACTACTACAACTCATCCCCCACAAAACAGACCAGAATAATCCGTGAGCCTTGGCCTCCCAATTTGTGGGGAGATAGCAAAAAGGAGGTATGCACTCCCCTGGCTCCCCAAAAGAGGGTCATGCATCAAAGTGACCAAGACCTATTCTGTTCCCAAACCATTTTGAACTACCAGTAGATCAGATATCTCCATGTACCAAGCCAATGAAACATGAGTCTTCCAAATTCGAAACCATTAATATGGTTGACTTCTTACGCTCCAATTTTCTTTTACAGCTTTGCCAACCCAATAAAAAAACTGTACAGACTAACAGAAAAAGAAAAAAAAATTAAACCCCTGTTGCTGGAATATACTCCAGATGGGTGTGAACTGCGCCTTCAATTTATTTATTATTTTATCATGCATCGATGTTTTAATTTAATTGTTGAACTGTTTTTGTAATTTGTATTGCTGTCAATAGTTTGGGCATCTAATTGTGCCCCTCTGTAAGCCGCCCTGAGTCCCCCCCGGGGTGAGAAGGGCGGGGTATAAGTAATTGAAATAAATAAATAAATAAATTTGCCTGAAAATTTTGCATTTGTCTTGGCTAAATTTCATTCAATCAATTTCAAGGTAATTTTGAATGTTGTTTCTATCTTCCAATGTGTTAAGCGACTGCACCTGGTTTTGTATCATCAGCCAATTTGATAAGGATTCCCTCTACAACATCATCTAAGTCAGGCCTGCACAATTTGAAGCCCTCCAAGTGTTTTGGACTTCTATCAGAATTCTTAGCCATTGTACAAGCTAGCTAGGGATTCTGGGAGTTGGGGGGCCAAAACATCTGGAGGGCTGCAAGTTGTGCAGACCTTATCTAAGTCATTGATAAAAATAATGAAGAGTGTCAGCCCCAAGACAGAACACTGAAGCATTTCACTTAATTTAATGTACAGAGATGAATGATGACTCTGTGAACATATTTTTCCAATCCCTGATAGATCCATCTCACAGAACTTCCACCTATTCCAGATGTAATAGATATTGTGGGTGACTTTATCAAATGCTTTGCTGAAATGCAGGTAACTACACCTACAAAGCTCCTACAATTTACTATACTACTTCGTTATCACTTTTTCCAGAACACAGGCAAACGCACTATTATGTTATGACCTCTTTTATCATGTCCTGATTCTTCTGGTTAATCTTTCATGATGAGTTTGATGAAACCTTGATGAGTCATGAGAAACAGGGAAAGATTTACACACAGATGCTAGCATCTTCCCAATATCCTCAAATTCCAGAAATCAGACTCAGCATAAATGAAAATAAACTATATACCATTATTAGTTCAATTGTCTATATTTCTTCTGCTACACTACAAAACTAAAATATTAGAACTTTTACAACACTTAAAAGAAGATTGAGTTCTGTAGAAATCTTTCATGTACAGGTCACATCTGATTGCCCTGGATATTAAAATGCCAATAGAAAAAGCTGTGCCCTTAACAAAACCTCAAGCAAGCTATAAGGAACACACTGGATGTTACATTTAACACAAACGGGAAAGCTATATCAATCCAACTAGCTTCAATATTAAGGTGTTTCCATGTGCTATACTATGTATAACCAGCACGTGAGAAGGCCCATTTCTCCAGATGGTTCCATCTGCATAAAAGACAACCTTTATCTTAAGCATTTTTCAAGGACAAATATCTCCTAAGCTAATTCCTGACAGCTAACAAAAAAACCCTTATACACTTTAACTGCTTAAATTATGATTTATACACATCAAGTTGCTTGAGCACCAATATTTTTTTCTTAATGTCAACTAGAGACTAGAAGTCTCACATTTAAACACCAAAACAATGCCAGCTTGCTGACAGGATTACACTACTGACTCATCCAAAGCTTCTGCCGTATGACAAAACTCATTAATATTAAAGGATTTTTTTACAGATTAGCCTTTTTCCTGTAAAATGTGCAGCGATGTACTTACTTCCTATAAGACCCCCTTCAAATACTGTAGAATTACTCAAAATAGAACTTCTTATATCACATTTCCAAATATAACCTTAATAACAAAAATACAGCATTTTAATCCACAGTCCCTTAAGAAGTATTACTTTCCAGCAAGTCACAAAATTAAGAAGTAGTTGAAATGAATTCCCATCAAAATTTTAAAAATCAATGAATGAAGAAACAAACCAGAGCTCGTTTCTCTCTGAGTTCCTGCTGCTGTAATCTTCGTTTCTCACGTTTTTCTTGCAGTTTCTCAACTTCTTTCACACAATTTGATTTTCTACGTGCTTGAAGAAAAAAGAGCATTATCACTCATTATATTTCAAATTTCAAAATGTGGTCAATAGAGCAAATAATTATTTAACCATTTAAAAAAAATAATCCAACCCAAACAAATCTTCTTATTCTAGAACAGGTCTGCAAAACCTGCATCCCTCCAGGTATTTTGGACTTCAGCTCCCAGAATGTCTGATCACTGGGCAAGCTGGCTAGGGCTTCTGGGAGTTGGGAGTCCTAAACACTTGGAGAGTCACAGATTGTGCAGCCCTTCTCTAGAAACATGGTGCATAGCCCTCGTACCTCACTTAGAGGGAGTTGCATGTTGCTACACCAGAGTAGGGGTACAGCAGGAGAACTTGGTCATATGTTGTCAGCATGGGTAAGCACTAGCACCCTGGTTATGGCCTTGTTTTTTGTTAAACTACCAACATGAATTAACTATCCCAGTGACTTCATGAAGAAACATTTTGCCATGGGCTACAAGTAGAATCTCTTCCTTCTGGTCAAATATTGAAGCCAGACACGTTGGTGACTCTCAGTTTCACAGTTCCAGCTAGACATTCTTGCTTAGTTGTTACCATTCTCTAAACAATTTTATAAATTTTATAAATTTTATAAAGAATTTTATGTATACTTTTAAATTTTGACTGGGCAACTGTAGGTTTTACTTTCCCTATTGGAATGCTTAATAGTTCAGCTGTTGAGAGGATTCCGAAGCTCACTGCACAGGTACAGGTAAGCACAACTTTCACAGAAACCATAAAAAAGATAGGTTCTGTTAAGTTTGTTCTTAGGCTGAATGTGTACAGTATATGTCAGAACAGGTTCATTTTTAAAGTGTAACTCCAGCCGATTTTTTAAAAGTTTTGGATAGCATATGCATCTTCATAATGCTTCTTTTGTTGTCTGTGCCCATGTTCAGAGGATTTCATATCACTTTATTTCCCTGTGAAGAGCCCCCGGTGGCGCAGTGAGTTAAACCCCTGTGCCGGCAGGACTGAAGACCGGCAGGTCGCAGGTTCGAATCCGGGGTGAGGCGGATGAGCTCCCTCTATCAGCTCCAGCTCCTCATACAGGGACATGAGAGAAGCCTCCTACAAGGATGATAAAAACATCAAAACATTTGGGCGTCCCCTGGGCAACGTCCTTGCAGACGGCCAATTCTCTCACACCAGAAGCAGCTTGCAGTTTCTGAAATTGTTCCTGACACGGCCCAAAAAAAAAAAAATCCCTGTGACAATTGGATCTTGAAAAGTTTGGCTTGCCATGGAAACTAAGATTGGTGAGAAAGCTTCAGACACCTTTTCCCCATAACTCTTCCAGGGGTTAATTTCTCTTCCTAGGGGTTGATTTCTTCTCACTTCCTGTTGTCTCACCTCTGTTTTTAATGATGCATCATATGTAAGTCAGATGTTTGTAATTCGGGGACTGCCTGTACTCTGTTTTTGTCACAATTGTTCAGGTTGCAATGGGTAAAAAAAGCTGAGCTAAAAAACAAACAAAAATGAGTTTCTCCAGCTTGGAGGCAGGACCTATCTCATACTATGTTGGCAAAAATGGACATGGTATCAGTTCATTTTTGCCTGTCTTCCACCCCTTTAAAGTTTTCTAAGCACGCAGCAGTCACTGCTATTCCTCACCAATGTATTAGCAGAGAGTTCTTGCTCTCCTACATCACTCTTTTCCACTTTAATGGATATGGACAGTGAAAAGCACCAACACAAAACAGGCACTGATTAAACATGTTATTCTCTTGATTCAACCTAATAAGAACTGAAATTTCTTTAAGAACTGAAATTTCAAACATATTTTGTTACCAACAAGACTATGGAAGAACAATCACACTGTGATTTCTTGAAAGAGACATAGCACTGGTACAGACGTCACTATTTATGAATTATATAACTGTCCAAGAGAGAATTATGTAATGCCTAAAATGAATGAATCCTTGATACATGATTTACATACAAGGGAGTCCAAATTCCTTTTTTGCAGCTTGAACTGGAGATATATCTGAAACACTACCATTCTGTTGTGTAGCGGAAGACTGTTCAGGAAGTTGAGTAGGTCGCGCACGTGCAGAACCAATCACTGTAAAAACCAAAATGAAGGATTACTATGAAACCTAACCTAACTAGACAAGAAGGAATTATTTTTTTACTTCTCAACACAATGATTTGCTATTTATAATAATATATAAATATGGCACATAGAAAAAATTGATTTTTTTTTTACAGACAAAGCGACTTCTTTAGCAGACCAATTAACTTGGATCGGAATTAAACATGTAATAAGAACACGTCAATTCTTCTTTTTTTTGGGGGGGGGGGTATTTATGTTTCAGTATAACATCAATATTTTCAAGGTAAGGAAAATTATTCTAATAAATACCATACATGCTCATGTATAAGTCAAGTGCATGCTTTGAAATCCAAATTTGGTATGACTCATGGATAAATCATGGGTTGTTTCACTGAGAGGAGGAAGCACCAATGCTGCCTCAGGGGGTCAGCCATCATTTGTCCTCCCAGAAATAAAAAAAAACCCCCAGAAATGTCACCACAGTGGGGAGAATACAGGGGGTCATTAATTCAGGTTCTCCCAAGGACTAAGCTCTTGCCATTTCACTCAGAGAAGGGGCTGGTTCCTTTTTTGACAAATTTAAGGTACAGTAATCACATTTACTCATAGATAAGTTGACCCAGTTTTAGAGGGTTGATTTTTTTAAAATGAAAATTTCTAGACTTATACATGAATATAGAGTAAGTTTGCTTCTCTGGCAGTTCCATGTAACCTTTCAAAACAGGTTGCATCAGGGAATAAATGGATGGGCATCAATAAAAGAGGCAGTTTGGTTGCAAGGTTTGTTTCCATGTTACACAAGCATCCCTGATAAAGTAGTTCTTCAAATTATCACCTGTGAACTCACACAAATGGGTCACCTGCTTAGTATGACATCCAGAACCTTTGAGAGTTCTTAACCTAAACATTTTACAGAAACCCACCAACTCCCTTAACACCATACCAATGCACTGTGAACGTCACATTTGAACCCTCAGTTTTATGGACACTAAAGTAGCACCATTTAAGGATTTAAGGAGAAGGCAGTACCCCATGAGGAGGAGGGGTGGGATTTTGTGAGTTCACAGACGACCACTCGAACTAGTTATAGGTAAGCAACCCGTCCTTCACAGTCTTTGTAACTCACACAAATAGATTAGCTAAACATAGAAAGAGGGACTGCCATGCCACACAGTCTTCAATCCCACCTCGGTGTTCCTTCAAGCATCTTATGTAAAGCATAGCAATGCCTGCACAACTGTATACTGTTAAGTAATCTTGAGACACAATATACATGACAGCCGTGCTTTTCAGGAATTTTACTGGCACACTTACTACATTTTTAAAGGTACTTGTTGAAGCAATATGGACCAAGATCAAGACTAAGTCCAAAAAACACGGGGCAAAATTGTCATCCATCTGAAGTCAAGCCAGATGGATGAGTGAACCAATGCAAAAATGCTAACAGAGAGTTGAAAGTAAGTCTATTTAATGAAAATAGTAAAAATGAGAAAAATAGAGCTCTGAAGTATTTTTAAAACGTTGCTGCTTCAGTGAACAAAAAGGAATTGAGAATTTGGACAAGAAGTGTGCTGGGACATGTGTGGGGAGTAGATGGGGCTACTGCCAAAAGAGCTCTAAAAGGTTTCAAGGGATGCACACTGCACAGATGCAGGTGACCCATTTTTGTGAGTCACAGAGACCACAAAAAAATGTACACAAATCTGACATAAGAAATGGCAATTCTCGAAAAACAGTGTCAGAGCGTTTCAATCTCCCCGGACACATAATATGAGATTTACAAGGAAACAGAAACATCTGAATATTCCTAAATTCCAATCTATTAGCAAAGATATGAGCAAAGATAATGGTTTCATGCGTTAACAACCTGAAGCTCAAGAAGTGAACTGATATCCATGAAACCTCATGCTTACAAATCAGTCTTAAAGGCACTGTTAAATTCTATTTTTTCTCCCCCTCACTTTTTCCATTTCATTCAGAGAAAAAAATCAAGCAGGTTCTCAGTACTGTTGCTACTGAGGTGTCAAGAGATATCTGAACAAGAAATCATTTGTCCCATGCCTTGAAAATAGGCTGTTCCTCTAGTAAATGGGAAGGTCAAGAATGCATCCTCTCTTCCAAGACCTCTATATATCATTCCAAGGATTTACTATGCAGGCACAGAATCCAACTGTGAGGTTACACAGGAGCTAATTTTTTAAATTATTATTCTCACACCACTCGCACGTACAGCAGAAATTACATACAGTCATAAATTAGTAACCCCAACTCCAGTACTGGTTATCATACATGATTAAGTGAAGATGAAAAGAACAATATTAGTAGGCTGTGTTCTTACAATGAAAAGGGGCACACAGAGGTTTTGCCATTGGAACAAGACAGTTTAGCTGGAATTTATGTCAACCTATTTTGCTTTCCTAAGTGTAAAATCAACTGACTGACTGGCTTACCTCTGTTGTCTCTAGCAGGAGCTTCAACTTTAGAAGGAGCCACAGTCCGTCGATTCTAGAAAAAGACAAACACTTTACATTTTCTTACCTACTTTGCTGCCTTCTTTTCAAATAGAAAAGTGTGGAGATTATCAAACCTTCAGCAGATAAAGAGGAATAGCCAGCCAGCATAATTCATAATTTCATAAAAAAAACCCTTCCATTTTCTCCATGTAAAATACATCTACACAATATTGTTTAAGGACATATCTACTCTGTTTCTTCTGTTGCTCTTTTACTAGTAGAGTGAATTGTACAATGATGGTGCTAGAGAAATATAATGATGATAATTTACTCATACTGAGAAATGTGTTACAAGATAGCAAATGATATTCAATGCAAAACAAAACCTTTAAAAATCTAAAACAGAAGCATACGAGAATGTAAAACCCTCGCTTCAGACCCCATCAATTTATATGTGAATTGACTAAATAGGAAAGAGCTTCAGAATGTCAATGTAACAATGCAGTGTGCAGATGCGATAAAGCCAAAACCCATGCTGAACAATACTAAAAAGCAACTGGAAATAATTTTCAATATCATTCTACATAATTGATGGTAGAGTTTTATTTGAAATAGTTAGTGATTTAATACAAAAGTAATGTAGGTTTACTTTGGTCTATATCAGTGTTTCTCAAACTGTTCCATGGAGCCCTTAGGGCTCCACAAAGAACAGTCAGGGGTTCCACGCTTTCCTCCTCCCCACTTCCAAGGGTGTGGTGGTGGGGAAAGAAACATTTATCAGCTGGTTTCTCCCCCACTGCCCAAGAGCCGGAAATGCAGCAGCCAGAGGAAATGGGTCCTTGCCCACCAAGGATTCAATGTAAAAGCAGTGTGTGGACCCCGTTGCTGCCGCCGCTACAATCAAAGACTGAAACATGCTGAGGCTAGTGACACCAGCCGCAAAGCGCTTCCTACCCTTTCCCTTCCTTCCCTTCCTTGCCATGCAGACCCTTTCCCTCATGCCTTCCTTGCTTCCAGAACCCTTTTCCTGCATGGCAGAAAGGGCTTGGACCAGATGGCCCCTGGGGTTTCTGTTATTATTATTACTACTACTACTAAGGCTGTATGATCATCTCTTGGGGGTGCTTCAATTTGTGTTTTTCCTACATGCCAGAAGGGGATTGGACAGGATGGCGCCTAAGGTCTCCCACTGAAATACTTTTAAGTTTATGTTAGTTGAAATTGTTCTTCATTTTAAATATTATATTGTTTGTTTTCGGTTTTGCACTACAACCAAGATATGTGCAGTGTGCATAGTAATTTTGTCATGTTTTTCTCAATTAGTTCACACAAACACTCTCCATCTACCACTGGCCTGACCCGTCTGTCAAATTTTAAAACGCAATGTGCCCCGTGTCCAAAAGTTTGTCCATGCGTAATATATATACAATCATCTATAACATAACACTAGACAAGAGAAAACTTACATACCTCAAAGAATCCAGGAAAACTGGAAAAAGGACCGAACTCCCACTCCATTATCTAACTTTATCAATAAAGTTTATAATCAGCAAGACCCAATGGCTGCTATTTGCCCTTTAAAAACATTCATGCAATTTAAACTAAGATTTAGTGCTGCACAAGGTTTAGCCCTTAGATTTACTACAGAATATATGTGGAGTTTGTTTCCAAAAGCTACCATTTTAAAAAAAATACCCAGAAACAGGGCTAATATTTCAGGCATCAAAATGTGTGTTGACCAGTGTTATATGTCTGGGGGAAAGGATACCCTACATCGAGGCACTATTTTTCACTTTTGATTATTAACCATTTGTAGTAACTTATTTTCCATAACCAAAATTTGTAAGGGATTATAATTCCTCACTTCACCCACAAAAAGGAAAGGGAATGAAATTCCCTATTTCACTTGAAAAATTAGAGAACTTCTAAACCGTGAATTCTTTTTTTAAAAAAAGAATCACGTAACAGTGATAGTGATTTCAATAAAATGGCATAATGATAAAGTAACCAACCTTCACAATTTTGTTTACTTTCGCTGAAGGTGTTGGAGGTGGTGGTGTCTCTGGGCTGGGATCATCATCTTCAGGAGCAAGGTCCGGGTTAAGCGAAAATATACTTTCCAAGTCAATCTGTATACAAGAAAAACAAATTGTTTTTGGCAACATGAAATACGTCCCACCTTTTTCTTTTAAACTAACAGGTCTGGTAGTTTAGTTCTAGTAACCATCAGATTATCCACATTTGGTGTTGCCACACTATTATCTCCACTCAAAGGTTTCCATTTCATCTTGAAAAGTTAACAAGATCAACTCAGTTAAGATAAGCGCACTTATAGTTCCTGCCAATATTCCTTACTGACAGGAAGAAAGAACTACCCTAGCCCCCACCTTCTAAATAGTGTTCTACAAAGTAATTGATACATTAGACATAATTTCCCCCTTACTCCACTTAACAATCCTAGATCAGCAAGGACCTGCTATGGCCAAATAAAGAATGCCATCTCTTAATACAGGGTTAGTCAAAATGAATAGGCCAATAAGAAAATTAATTTTAGATGAATGTATGTTTACTGTAACCAAACTACAGCTACGTAGCGACAGATAAACTATCAAAGTTTTGTCTCACCTTCAGAGATGTTCGATATGGGCGCCCCGTGTGACACGGCAGATGTCCAAGCGATAGTCCAGTTCATTCCACATCCGTTGCAGCACATCCGACGTAATGGCATCGAATGCAGCAACGTCTGGGAAGGTGTTCGTTGAGGTCCTAACCCTAACCCTAACCCTAACCCTACCCTAACCCTAACCCTATCCCTAACCCTAACCCTAACCCTAACCCTTGAAATTCTCGCTGGACCGTAATTACTGACATTGTTTTAGCAAATGTCATCACACAAAATGCCTTCTCTTTGCTTGATTCCGCCATTTTGAAAACAGCGACCCCTAGCGACGCCTAGCGGCATTAACGTACATGTGTGTTGCTCAAAAAAAAACTTTGATAGTTTATCTGTCGCTACGTAGCTGTGGTTTGGTTACAGTAAACATACATTCGTCTAAAATTAATTTTCTTATTGGCCTATTCATTTTGACTAACCCTGTATTTTATAGATACATCCCGATCCTATGGATTATAATTTCAAAGAATCATAGAATCAAAGAGTTGGAAGAGACCTCATGGGCCATCCAGTCCAACCCCCTGCCAAGAAGCAGGAATATTGCATTCAAATCACCCCTGACAGATGGCCATCCAGCCTCTGTTTAAAAGCTTCCAAAGAAGGAGCCTCCACCACACTCCGGGGCAGAGAGTTCCACTGCTGAACGGCTCTCACAGTCAGGAAGTTCTTCCTCATGTTCAGATGGAATCTCCTCTCTTGTAGTTTGAAGCCATTGTTCCTCGTCCTAGTCTCCAGGGAAGCAGAAAACAAGCTTGCTCCCTCCTCCCTGTGGCTTCCTCTCACATATTTATACATGGCTATCATATCCCCTCTCAGCCTTCTCTTCTTCAGGCTAAACATGCCCAGCTCTCTCTTGAATTGTGGTGCCCAGAATTGGACACAATATTCCAGGTGTGGTCTAACCAAAGCAGAATAGAGGGGTAGCATTACTTCCCTAGATCTAGACACTATGCTCCTATTGATGCAGGCCAAAATCCCATTGGCTTTTTTTGCCGCCACATCACATTGTTGGCTCATGTTTAACTTGTTGTCCACGAGGACTCCAAGATCTTTTTCACACGTACTGCTCTCGAGCCAGGCATTCCCCATTCTATATCTTTGCATTTCGTTTTTCCTGCCAAAGTGGAGTATCTTGCATTTGTCACTGTTGAACTTCATTTTGTTAGTTTTGGCCATCTCTCTAATCTGTCAAGATCGTTTTGAATCCTGCTCCTGTCCTCTGGAGTATTGGCTATCCCTCCCAATTTGGTGTCGTCTGCAAACTTGATGATCCTGCCTTCTAACCCTTCATCTAAGTCCTTAATAAAGATGTTGAACAGGACCGGGCCCAGGACGGAACCCTGCGGCACTCCGCTCGTCACTTCTTTCCAGGATGAAGAGGAAGCATTGTGAGCACCCTCTGGGTTCGTCCATTTAACCAATTACAGATCCACCTCACCGTAGTTTTGCCTAGCCCACATTGGACTAGTTTCCTTGCCAGAAGGTCATGGGGGACCTTGTCGAAGGCCTTACTGAAATCCAGGTATGCTACATCCACGGCATTCCCCGCATCTACCCAGCTTGTAACTCTATCGAAAAAAGAGATCAGATTAGTCTGGCATGACTTGTTTTTGATAAATCCATGTTGACTATTAGCAATGACCGCATTTGTTTCTAAGTGTTTGCAGACCACTTCCTTAACAATCTTTTCCAGAATCTTGCCTGGTATTGACGTGAGGCTGACCGGACGGTAGTTGTTTGGGTCGTCCTTTTTTCCCTTCTTGAAGATTGGGACCACATTGGCCCTCCTCCAATCTGCTGGAACTTCTCCTGTTCTCCAAGAACTCTCAAAGATGGTTGCCAATGGTTCCGAAATGACTTCCGCTAGTTCCTTCAATACTCTTGGGTGTAGTTGATCTGGCCCTGGGGACTTGAACTCATTTAGAGGCCAGGTATTCCTGTACGACTTGTTTCCCAATTTGGAGTTGGATGTCCTCAAATCCCTCATCCACTCCGTCTTGCTGAGGTTGAAGATGACTTTCTTTTTGTGAGAAGACCGAGGCAAAGAAGGTATTAAGTAGTTCTGCCTTTTCCCTATCCCCTGTCAGCATTTCCATGCCTTTTGCTCTTAGACATAAGGAAGAAAAGGTGCAATTGTCTTCTCTCGGAAACTTTAATCTTGTCTGTTTATCCTGAACACTTAAATATTATTTCACAGCCACTTCTGGTTGGATGCCATCTCATTCCTTCATCTCTTCTTTGAAGCAATATTCAATAATTAACACACACACTGCCCTTTCTATATTTTTTAATTAAAGACTTCTTTGCTGGAAAAGCTCTGCTCTCAATTCTACCACTCATTTCCCCTTTTGTTTTTGCTCAGCATTAAGATTACCATATTACATGAATCTAACGCACACCCTAATTTTGGGAAGGTAATTTAGCCATAAAAAGGTGAGCTAAAAAATTAGCCAAAAAAAGAAAGAAAGCTCTCTAAAACTAGAGCTTATTTTCCCCTAGTCCTTCTGTTCCAGAAGGAGTTACTCGGAAAATTTTGAATAGTACATTTCTGACATGTAAAGATACATATGTTCTAACCATGTCTAATAACACAACTTATTTAGTACTGTATATTGCAGGTCTTCTGTCTTTAACAGGTTATATTTTAACTCACTCTACCTTGGATTACTAAAAAAGCATTACAATTAAAAACATCAGAAACACTGAAGAAATATCAGAAGTAAAATGGTTCTTTTTGTATTAATTATTTCTTCAATGTTTTTGATGCAATGCTACTTCCTTTATATTTTATTATTTCTGCATAAGTAATCCATTAAATTAATGTGGTACAGTGTCCCCTCGCTGCTTCGTGATTCACTTTATGCGGACTTGTCATATCGCAGTTTTTTCCTCCCCCACAGGGAGTGAGGGAGAGGAGGAAGGAGGTGGAAGATGATGGGGGGGAGGGGGAGCCAGGCCTCAGCCCAGCCTGGCAGTGCCATCAACGGCGGCCAAGGGGCCTCCAAAGCTAGCAGGAGCACAGGCGGCGACGAGGAGGATGCTGCCAAGTGGGCAGAGAGTCTCTATTTCACTTATCATGGAGGCTTCTGGAACGGAACCCCCGCAATAAGTGTGGGAACACTGTACTGCTATAAAGGTCACTGTTGTCCGATTTGCTGCACTTACATGATAGAGTCTGTGACCCTAAAGTAAACTAATAATTGTAATTTGCTATGATTTTAAGAGATCAGAAACATTTGCAAAAACAATCCAGTCACAGTGCTTTGTAGTATATTTTAAATGTATATTCATTTATTCATTCATGTATTTACTGATGACTATCATCCTTTATGGCTACCATAAAGGCATTAAACCATTAAGTACTATTTAAAATATTATATCTATTACCTTTCACCATGTAGAGAAATTAAAAATGCAGTCTTTAAATACAAGAATCTCTGAACAGCTGAAATGATGGATGTATACCTCTTTTCCTTTAGTATCACCATTTTCAATCCATTCAACTGTAACACTTTCATTATCTTCATTAAGAGATGTTACCATAGCTTCATGTATTCGTCCTGGAAAGAAATAATATTTATTTATATGCAAAATTTTTGATGTAATGATTCTCAAGGAGACTTAGAACAGAATATAACAAAGCATAAACAATCACAGTTTTTATAATATAGGTAGGCTTGCAGAAATGTGAAATGATATATACTCCAAAACTCACAGTATCCAGAACCGCCTTTCACCCCTAGCTGGCAGACAAAGCATGCTTCCTTAGCTCTCCAGTCCCAAAGCAAATGACAATTAGAATTCAATGTTTTTTTTTAGTGTATGGGGAAAAACCTTTCTATAGATGCTCATTTATTATCTAAGCTAATCTCCATTACATCATTCCTCAGAAGCAGGACATACAACTTCAAAGTGGCCCTTAGTCTCCTGCCTAATGGCAGAGACCACATTATAATTACCTTCAGCTTGCAATCCCCAAAGCAACTGGCATAATTACCCCTTCAATTAGTTATATAATTTCCTCTGAAACCACTCCAGTATTTCACGTGCAGATTAATAAGATAGGTTTAGTACTTTTTTTTTTTTAGGTACCGTATATACTCCAGTATATATCATGGGATGGCAGGTGACACAAGAAAACTGATCTCAGAGACCAAAGTCAGGCTTGCCGATATACAGTCTGAGATCTGGAGTTAGTGAGTTTCCATAGTGACATCAGTGTCAGAGGAAACGCTGAGTGAATAACGTGGATGCTGAGGCAAGAGTCCTTGAAATGGCACTTCAGTGAGTAAGACCACTGACATTGGGGAGAGGCACCAAAGTTATCTTATAAGTATGAAGAACCCACAGCTGGAGATTTCTTGATAATTTCCATTAACTAGAAGTCTCAAAGCCTGATATAATGGACATCTGTACATGTTTGAAAGAAGCCTATCTCATAGGAATTTCAGCAGTGTAAACTATAAAGCTTTGACAGAACACATGACAAGTTCCTCATCCTCTCATGAAACCTCCCTTCGGATCACAGCCCATGTGAGAAGCCTAGCAGATAAGCCTATGCCTCTTATACCACCTTCTGTCCAACCCTGCGATAATCATTTGAAATAAATAATCACACACAAAAAGATGACAGGAGAAAACTAAAAATATCAGAAAATAATATTTTCAAGCTGAATAAAATAAATTCTGAAACTCTATCAGGGATCAAGTGATTTAATCATGTGCAGTACTCTTAAGTGTGGCAGCACTAAATGAATGTGAATATAATTCAATACAGTTGAATTCAGCTAAACAATTTCATATCATGAACATTTTTCTTTAAGAATACAAAACTACCAATAATATTTTCTGTCATTTGCATGCTAAATAAATATTAGCAATTTATTTCCTTTTCTTATTTCATTTATTTATTAATCACATGTAGGAATTTTTCACTGCAGAGGAGTCAGCTACATTAATCTTCAGATGGTATCCAGAAAACAATCAAGCACAGAAACATGTATTATTCTCCTATTTACAATATAAGCATTTCCTAATGATCTGGGATGTTTCCCCATTCCACCAGCAGTTTAGCTGAATCTATCTGAAAGGGAAGCTGAAGAATTAGGTTGATAATTCCTTTTCTCATTTTCAGTTCTCTTCTCAGTCAACAGTTGCCATTTGAGAAAATATTTGAACAAAGTGTGGTTTTATGCAGCTTCTGTTCCTCTATACAAATATGGAATTATTGCAGATTCCTTAAGCACTCAGATTCCACTCAAATGTATCTCTTACCTGCCAATATCACAATAACAGAATTCAGCACACCATGCTGAAACAGTAAGAAGCCACCTCTTCCTGATACTGACCTACTTCAGTATACAAAAAGGCATGGGAGAAAACAGTCCCCCTAAAATTGGCAAAAGGAGTATATGATAAATATTTTTAATGCAACAACTGCCAATTTTCTTCTAACTATTAAGATTATTATGCCATAAGAGAGAGAGAGAATGAAAGAGAAAAAGTAACAGATTGAGCTTGGGAGGGAGCGGGGGGGGGGGGGGAGGAGAGATGAAGCAAAACATGATTTTTTTTGGATGAATTCTGCAACATCCAAACTGTAAAGCTGCCGTTACCAAATTATATATTAGGGTAAAAATACGTTACAGAGACCAAAACAGATTAATAGAATAATACATTTCAACTTCTGATATTTGGGTGCTGAGGAAGTAAAGTGAGAACGTAGCATATTGTATGGTATTGTCGAAGGCTTTCATGGCCGGAATCACTGGGTTGTTGTAGGTTTTTTCGGGCTGTATGGCCATGTTCTAGAGGCATTCTCTCCTGACGTTTTGCCTGCACTACCTCACTACCCTCAGAGGTAGTGAGGTGACTCTGAGGGGTGATTTGAATGCAATATTCCTGCTTCTTGGCAGGGGGTTGGACTGGATGTCCCATGAGGTCTCTTCCAACTCTTTGATTCTATGATTCTATGCTTGCCATAGATGCAGGCAAAACGTCAGGAGAGAATGCCTCTAGAACATGGCCATATAGCCCGAAAAAACCTACAAGATAAAAATTACTGGGTAAATTCTTGTTAACCCAAAAGGCAGTCTAAAAAAAGTTGAAAGTAGATTAACAAAACCAATAGAAATATGCTATTCATGTGGGAGCTTCACCCATTACACCAGAACCACATACTGAATTAAAGATAAGTTTTAATGGTTTAGATAATCTATGCCAATCACATTCTGCATGAGTAATGGGCGGGAGGAAAAGTTAGGTATGGAAACTATAGTAATACATGCACCTATATATTTTGCGTTAGCTGGAGAGGGGAAGGAATGGATAGTGGACACTTCTCACAGAAGGCCATTCCCCTCCATGGGAATAACAGGGAAGAGAATAAGCCAACACAGTAAGCACAAATTGAAAGAGGTAGTGTATTGTCGAAGGCTTTCATGGCTGGAATCACTAGGTTCTTGTGGGTTTTTTCGGGCTATAGAGCCATGTTCTAGAGGCATTTCTCCTGACGTTTCGCCTGCATCTATGGCAAGCATCCTCAGAGGTCACACCTCTGAGGATGCTTGCCATAGATGCAGGCGAAACGTCAGGAGAAATGCCTCTAGAACATGGCTCTATAGCCCGAAAAAAACCACAAGAACCTATTGAAAGAGGTAGTTATTCTCCCTATGCATCATTCTTAATTAGATGAAATTACTGGAATCATTGACCCAGCATTCAACACATCTTGGATATAAACCAGTTGTATACCCATTCCACTGGATGTCACTATCTACAGATACAGTAAGGGCACAAAGATATATCTATAACCAGCCAGTCTGTAACGTGATTCTGTATACTGATTCGACCATTCCAGATTAGAACAGTTATTTCTGACTTTTTTCCTCTTAAATCCAATTTGTAAAAATCTAAATTCTATGAAGTTTTAATTAAATCTGGATGTGCCTATTATGTTTTTGTTGTTCTGTCTAAAGGGATTTGGTGATATGATTTATCATTTAGACAATTACATATTCATTTTTCCAAAAAAATAAGTCTTTCTAGATTCATACCCAATACTATGACTCTAGGAAGATTTTTTTAAATTGTAACTGTCTTAATGGCCAATTATGATAATCAAATTTATGTTTTTTTGTTGATATATAAGGGTGCTACAGAATAGCTTTAAACTGTTTTTGGTCTAAACTCACTTTCTGAAATGTGTTTTCTACAGGCTAAAACCAAGTGCAACCAAAATGAAATTATTTGTCATATTTTCCCAGATCTAACTAATCAGGAAAAAAAAAACTAAAGTGGTAACACATATTTAAACATACCATTATGAGTTTTACTGAAATGCACTTCCACACTTTCATAGCTCTCTGGAGTCACAGTCCATTGCTCAAAACACTACACCATACTGGCTCTATATAAATTTTCACTCACAGATTATACAGAAGAAAATTAAACCATCATTAATAATCTATTTATGTAATTTGTTTCCCACCTTTCTTCTCATAAGGAAACTCAAGGCAGCTTTTTAAATGTATTTAAAAACAATACAGATTAAAATGAGAGAAACTACAATATCCCAAATGTATTTCCAATTCATTTTCAGTCTCTTGGTATTCTTACACCAAGTACCCAGAATTAAAGTATGATACAGAAAGCTTCAAAATATTATTGATCTTTTAGAAAAATATGCTAACTGGTCAAAACTAATTCCATTCTTTTCCCTAATTATGTTCATGCTTGGTCTGCCTCCCAGAAAACCTATGTAATTCTGTCTCTCTTGCTTCATTCAAACCCGACCTCACATCCCTCCTCAAGCCTTTGGTACCACTTCTAAATCTATGATAGCTAAACCTAAATGTAAGTGAACAAAACAAATGACACCATAAGGGGTTATATTTCAAATATGCACTGCCTTGCCCTGCAAACCAGAGTAAAAGTCCCCTTTCCATCAGTTTTGAAGATTCTACCTTTTCACAATCAGAGATTTATCCATTCTTTCTTTACTCTGGGAAACATTCTTTTCTCAATGTTTCTTCATTTTTCTGTGTGTCTACTATGATGTTCAAGTTGGTATAGTACCTGGCAAATTCATAGTGAATTGTAAAGTAAGGAAAGACTAAGCAGACCCTAAGTTCTGAGTAATTAATGGAATCTGTAAGCCAGAGTTTCTCAAACTGTACTACTCCAGATGTTTTGGACTTCAGAACCCACAATTCCTAACAGCTGGTAAGCTGGCTGGGATTTCTGGGAGCTGAAGTCCAAAACATCTGGAGGAGCAGTTTGAGAAACACTGCTGTAAACAATAGAGAATAGGTTGCAGTGGGGATGATGTAATTCAGCAGGTGATTGGTTAAAGAGAGTATAAATTAAGCAAGGAACCATAGCATGTTGGCTTCCTTGTTGTGAAGTGTTTGGGGTTTCTCTATAGGAGACACTTTGGTGTGTGTAGGAGTTTGATTTGATTTTGTGAACTAGCGGATCAAATACTGCTGTATAACTGCAGATACATTGAAAGAGAATACTGCAAGTAGAGGAGAGACTATATACATATTGTACAAACTGT